GCACGAGGGGACAGCTTGTCCGCAGACAGGTCGCGAACAAACGCCCGAGATCCCCAGACCCGGAACGCCGACGCATCGCCAACCTTCCCCGTCCACAGCAGGGCTGGGGAGGTCTCCGGTCGAGAGACCCTGGGGTGGAGGTTGATCTGGTGCGCAGCGTACCTGACCGCAAACTGCCACAGAAAATGGGGAGCAGCCGCATGCATCATGGACGTACGAGCGACGTCCATGACCATGCCAATGCGGCGCTCAGCAATCCCATTCTGCTGTGGTGAGTCCGGAAGCGTGAAGGTCTGACGGATGCCTCGTGCACGACAGTAGGCACTCAGGAGGCCAGAGGAGAACTCTCCGCCTCTGTCCGAGTGCAGACGCAAAACAGGGAAGTCAGAGCCAAAGCTCCTCCGAAGCTGGAGACGAGCTGCGCGGATCCAGTCAATCAACACCTCAGTGACCTCACCCTTGCTGCGCAAGGGGAAGACCGTGGTGTAACGCGAGTAGTCGTCAACCACCAGCAGGAAGTAGCGCTCCTGACCCTGTCCACAGACGCGGGCTGGGCCCCACACGTCCATGTGAAGGGTCTGCAACGGGGCCTCTGTCGGAGGAAACTGGGAGGAGTGAGGGGCAGCACGCTGGCGCCCCTCGACACAGGGGACACAGGTAGGGCCAGGGCCCGGAGGAAGGGGAGGGAGAGACCGGGGAAGACCAGACACAAGGACTCGCGAGGCCATGCCTCTGAGCCGAAGCAGAGAGGGGTGGCCAAGGCGGTGGTGCCAGAGGAGGGTCTCGTGAGACAGACGACGACACGAGCAGGGGGCAGACTCAGGACCAGACCTGGACGCTGCAGCAAACACCTGACCAGACAAAGGGACCCTACCAGACTCAGCACCTGGAGGAGAAGCAGTGGTCAGTGTGTACAGGCTCGACCCTGGCCGACGTGTAAACGTAGCCAGGTGGCGACCTGTATCCGCCTCCGTGCAGTGGGTCACCCGCTGACGAGCAGGGGTGAACTGGTGGACACCCGCATCCTGGAGGTCAGCACCACTCACCAAGTTCGTCGAGAACGAGGGGAGGTAGAGACCAGTCAGGGTGCCAGAGGGGGCCGCCGGACACGGGAGGACAGTGGAGAAGCGAGACAGGACAGGCCCCCCAGAGGGGTCAGCCAGGGACACCGCAACCGGCCGACTCAGCGGCGTGAGAGTGGTGCGGTCCCTAAAGAAGGAGCGAGACGCTCCAGAGTCAAGGGTGAAGGTGTGAGAGGCCGAAGCCGACACAGTACCTGAGAGGGCAGACTCACCAGCACCTGAGAGCACAGACGCACTGGCACCTAGAGCAGCAGCCTCACTAGTACCGGACGCGGCAGTACCAATGCCCGGGTCGGGCGGGAAACACCGGTAACAGTCATCCTCATCACTACCAATCGCAGCATACATAGCAGAGAGAATAGCATCAAAATCAAGATCATAAATAGCTACACCAGCCCTAGACAGCTCTCCCCAGCGGGGGATCTCAGCTGCCTCCGGAAACTGCTGACGCCAGGCGTCAGTCAGGCGGCCAAAGCAGCGGCGGGCTGTCTGGGCGCCTCCACACCTCTCCCCTGCACGGTCACCGGTGCGAAGAACGTAGGGGCAAGGACCAAGCGCACCACCACGCTGACGCTGCGAGTACCACTCACGGAGCTGCTGAGGGGCGGGGACGGTGCGAGAGCGCTGCTCCTGCTGCGGCTGCTGCTGCTGCTGGCGCTGACCACCCCCAGAGCTGCTCCGCTGGGACGAGCCACTCCGACCCCCGCCTCCACCGCCACCCCCGCCTCCACCGCCACCCCCGTCTCCACCGCCACCTCCCCCACCAGGACCGTCGCTCCCACCGCTCCCACCGCCTCCTCCGCTACCACCTCCGCCGCCACCTCCGCCTCCACCGCCGCCACCAGTACCTCCACTCCCGCCACCACCCCCACCGCCACCCCCACTCCCCCCGCCACCCCCACCGCCTCCTCCACCGCCCCCTCTAGCTCCACCCGCTCCCTTTCCCCCCTTGCCCTTGCCAGAGCGGCGTCTGCCGCTGGGGGCAGACGCCGCGCCGACCGACTCAAAACCAGTGAGGTCGGCCGCAGCGGCAGAGGCGACAGAGGGCAGCAGGGGGGAAGGACCACACCCCTCAAAGATGGGGGTGCGAGGGTCACCCCGAGAGGCCCCTACAGCGACAATACTCTTCTCAGCCGCTAGCAGGGACTCCTCAAGGAGGTCGACAGTGAGAGTGGTGGGACAGACAGAGAGAAACTGGTCCCTAACGACACGAAGGGACTCAGGGAGACGGGTGACGAGAAAGTAGAGAGTGATGTACATGGGAGGAGGGTTCGCAGCGCGGAACTCAGCAGGAAGGGCAGCGCGGTAGCGGGTGTCACTAGCACGGAGGTGGGTAACGAGGTCAGCGACAGTGGGAAAGGAAGCGAGGTCAGGGAAGAGAAACGGTAGCATGAGGCGGCTAAGGGTAGCGGAGGAAGGGGAGGAGTAGCGTGCAACTACAGCGTCGTACAAGGCCTGAGCGGTCTTGCACTGACTAAAGTGGGCACGCTCAGAGGAAGGGAGGTGGCGACGCACAGCAAGACGTGCAGCAGCATCGCGGGTCGCCCACTTGGAGCGAACGGCAGAGTCAGCATCAGCAGGAGGGGCAGGGACAGCGCCAGAGACAAAGTCAAAGAGAGAGACCTCATCTATCGCATCACACAGTAAGTACAGCTGCAGGTCTTCAATCCAGACGGCAAAGTCAATGGCCCTCCCCTCAGCGTCAAAAGTAAGAACATTGGGGGTGGCCATGGCAGCAGCTGAAAGTCTCACCGGGCTGGGAGAGTCGGGTAGGTCAGCAGCAGAGGAACACAGCTCAGGAACAGCAGCACGGCTCCTCAGGCGGCTCGGGCGGCTCGGGCGGCTCGGGCGGCTCGGGCGGCTCGGGCGGCTCGGGCGGCTCGGGCGGCTCGGGCTGCTCGGGCGGCGGCTCGGCCGCAGCTCAGCGGCGGCTCGGCGGCGGCTCGGGCGGCGGCTCAGGTGGCCCGGGTGGCGGCTCAGGCGGCGGCGGCTCGGCGGCGGCTCGGCTGCTGCTGGGCGGCTCGGCTGATGCTGGGCGGCTCGGCGGGGCCGCGTAGCAGAGGGCGGCGGTGCCGCGTAGCAGAGGGTGGCGGGGCCGCGTAGCAGAGGGCGGCGGGGCCGCGACTGAAGAGGGCGGCAGGGCCGCGTAGCAGAGGGCGGCGGGGCCGCGTAGCAGAGGGCGGCGGGGCCGCGTAGCAGAGGGCGGCGGGGCCGCGATCGAAGGGCGGCGGGGCCGCGTAGCAGAGGGCGGCGGGGCCGCGTAGCAGAGGGCGGCGGGGCCGCGTAGCAGAGGGCGGCGGGGCCGCGTAGCAGAGGGCGGCGGGGCCGCGATCGAAGGGCGGCGGCGGGGCCGCGTAGCAGAGGGCGGCGGGGCCGCGATCGAAGGGCGGCAGGGCCGCTAGGGAAGGGCGGCGGAGCCGCTAGGGGAAGGGCGGCGCAACGGGCCGCTAGGGGCGACACGACGGGTCGCTAAAAAAAACGCGCCTCGGGGCGCGGGTCGGTGGGCCCTAGAAGCAGTCCCTAGGAGGGAACCTGCTCTGATTCCATGTGAAATCAAAGAACGAGAATGAATGACTAAGGAATGGAAGTGATACAAATATGCAACCCTAATTGTGTTGTACCCCCTATGGGATACCCCACTATAGCCTACAGAAACAAGTAAGCTATATGTTCTGACACAGACCTGTCCTACTCCGCTAGCCAGCTTGCTACCTACCTCAAGAGGCCTGAAGCAGATCACATGTCAGAACTCGATCGCGCACTGCACTACTTTGTGAGCACACCGACGATCGGCCTGACTTACTACAAGGGCGAAGCTACGACGACGAAACTAATCGGCTACGTCGATGCTGACCATGCCGGCGATCCAGATAACAGGCGCTCTCGCACCGGCTACGTCTATCGTCTCGAGCCTATCGGACCTATCTCCTGGCAGTCGAGTAAGCAGGAACTAATCGCTCTCTCTTCAGCTGAAGCAGAATATATCGCCCTCTGCTCAGCCACCAAGGAAGGACTCTACCTTCGCGAACTGCTGGAAGAAGCAAAGTTAGCTGAGTTACCCAGCTTCACCCTGCACTGCGACAACCAATCTGCAATTCGCATCGCCAACAAAAACGGATTCGCGAACAGAACGAAGCATATCGCTCTGCGATACTTCTTCGTGAAAGACGAGATCGAGAAAGGAAGACTCGAGTTATCCTACTGTCCCACGTCCGAGATGGCAGCCGACTATTTGACCAAGAAGCTCGGAAAAAAGAAGTTCGAGTACTGCATGCTGCTGACTGGACAAAGCCACGTCACCATCAGCGACACTCCAGAAGCGAAGGGGAGTGTTGGGAACAATAAGTCTTAAAACGCCTCTGTCGTGTCGAAGCTCAGGACTCAAAGCGAAGCAGTCCAAATCGAAGCATCGCGAGTCAACCCTCGGAGGTTGGGGTAACCGCCTAGAGGTTACGCGAAGGTCAAAGGTCAGCGACCTTTGACTTGACCAATACAGCGCGACAGCAAGGACACACAACTGACTCGACATTGAGCAGTTGCCCGAGTCGCACTGTATCGAATCGCAACAGTAAAACGGTTTAAATCTATCTATTCGTATTCCTTGTACTCTTATATAAACCTTGTATTTGCTTGTTTAATTTAACTTACTTTGCCCTCACATACCAGCGCAAGGTGGTTCAAGATCTTTTATTCAACGCTTCCGCTATTACAAATCCTACCCAGACTTTAACTCTACAAAGATCCTTAGGGCTAATCAGCCCAACAACATTAACTCCCTGCGGCGCAAAACTCACAGAAGGGTCAAAATCGTTTTAAGCAAGCACACACTTGCAGTCTTCATTCTCTCCATCTTATAACTTGCATGCAGTCACTGTTCTACAGTTTGCAAGTGCAGGTGTGGCTAATCTAATTTAAACGTTAAGGGTGGGCTGTGCTGTGCCCCTTGGGGTCGATTGGCCGGTTGCAAGCCCAGTTCACGCAGGGCTAACGCTGCACAATGACAGAACGAAACGCATGAGAACCGTGGAGTGACAGTTGGCTTCGGGGCACTTGAAAACAAAGGAAGAGAGTTTCTTTGTCTTTTTTCTTTTTTGACACACACACGACGGAGCCAGCAGGGTGCTGGGAGGAAGCAGTAGGAGCCAAAAAGAATGACAGGACTTGGTTTTCCCTCACCTTGCCCTTGCCCTTGCCCTTGTCCCCTCCGCTGCTCTTCTTCCCTGCCGCCTTGCCCCCACTGCTCGCTGCCCCTCCTTTCCCACCCACCCCTCCTCCTGCTGCTGCACCTGCTGCTGCTCCCCCTCCTGCAGCAGCAGCCGCCTCTGCAGCCTTAGCTCTCCTCGCTGCTTCATCGGCTGCTTTCATGCGAGAAATGGCTTTCTTCAAGCTCTCCTCTACCTGCAACGAGGGGTGGGGAAGGCAGAGGGGGAGGGCAAAGGCGACATAAGAAAAGACAACCCTTTGCCCTCCTCACTGCTTCATCTGCGGCTTTCATGCGTGAAGCAGCCTTCTTCAGACTCTCCTCTACCTCCAACGAGTCATGTGGGAGGGGGAGGGGGAGGGAAAAGTGGAAGTGAGAAAAGACGGCCTTTGCTTTCCCCTGCTTCATCTGCGGCTTTCTGCCTGACACTCTACCTGGAACGTGAGGTGGAGGGGGGCAGGAAAGTATAGGAAAGACATTACACATGGACTCTTACTGCTGCGCCATCTGCTGCCTTATGCATGAGAGACAGCCCTCCCCCACGTGCTCTCCGTACCGTACTGACCTCCCCTCCCTCTCACCTTATGGTTCTGCCACCTCTCCGGCCAAGCAGCTTAATTTTTTCCTCCACCTGCCTCTGCTGCTGCGGCATGCTTTGACGTGACTAGAACAACCCCCCTCCATCCCCTTACCCCTCTCCCCTTCCCTCACCTTATCGTTTTGCTAGGTCTCCCACCAAGCAGCGTCCCGCATTTTCTCCTCCACCTCCCTCTGCTCCTGCAGCATGCTTTGACCACACCCCCCTCTCACCCTGCCCCTACTCCTCTCTCCCTGATTCCCTACGTCCCTATCCCTCTCCCCCCCCACCCCTTTACCTTGTCGTTCTGCCAGGTGTCCCGCCAGGCAGCGTCCAGCATTTTCTCCTCCACCTCCCTCTGCTGCTGCAGCATCGCCTGCCACTGCTGCCTCTCCGCCTCGCCCTTGATCTTGCTCTGATCGGGTTCCTGTACCCAGTCCAGCTGGAAGGACTGCGAGGTGGGAGGGGGCGCAGGGGAGGACGAGGGGCACCAGTGGAGCACAGGGGTTGTCAGATGGTGGAGAGGGTTTGAAAGCGGTTGCAGCATCGCCTGCAACTGCTGCCTCTCTGCCTCCCCCTTGATTTTGGACTGATCGGCCTCCTACACCCAGTCTAGCTGGAAAGACTGCGAGGTGGAAAAAGGGAGAATAAAGGTTTATGATGGTGGAGAGGGGTTGGGAAGGGTTGCAGCGACCAGCTTTTTCTCTTCCACCTCCCTCTGCTGCTACACCACCATTGCCTGCCACTGCTGCCTCTCCCCCTCTGTCCATTTATGCCAAAGTTTCTCACCTCTAAGTAATCGGTTCGGAGGAGAGGCATCATCCTTTGCCCAGTACCTCTTCTCACATCCTCTTTCCTCTCCCCCCATGCCCCTCTTTTGAGGTGACTTTTGAGTCGACTCAAAAGTCTTCTCACATCCTCTTTCCTCTTCCCCCATGCCCCTCTTTCTTCCCTTATTTGGGTTGAAGTGCAAGCATCACCCTAAGGACGCGTCACCTGCCTGGATCGATCCTGCGCAGGATCGATTTTTTATTCGGTTCAAAAGTTTTCCAATTAAATTTAAATGCAACACGCGGGGGTTTAGTGCGGTGGACGATCGATCTTCCTCGATTTTGCACGATCGATCGAGGGAGGTGACGCGTCCTAACACCTTCCCCCCGGACCCACTCTCTCAAGCGGTCCATGTATTAGATCCAAGCAAGTACAGACATGCAAAAGGATAGAGAAAGCACAGTGCACTCTCTCTCCCTCTTTCCTCGTCTCCCCCCTCCTCTCTCTTTCCCTACCTCCTCAAGCTAAAGCAACTCACCCCAAAGTCTTTGGGTCGGGGGGGAGGAGTCATCTTCTCCACCTTCTTCCAAGCCTCCTCCAGAGCTGCGGCCACCCGAGCCTCGGCGTCGCCCTCCAGCTTCGGCAGCCGCCGAGCCTTGAGTGGCTTGGTTCGGACAGCAGCATCGAGCTGAGGGTCGTTGAGAGCCGCAGATGGATCCATCTCGATTAAAGCCTGGAAAACGGGGAGGGGGGGAAGAACGGAGAGAGGGAGTGAGCTAGTGAGGGAGTGTTCGAATTGAATTAAAGATCATTGTGACATGAAAGGGAGGGTCGCTGAGAGCTGCAGATGGATCCATCTGGATTAAAGCTTGGAAAGAGAGGGAAGAGAGGGGAATGAGGGAGTGGGGGGATGAGGGAGAGGGGGGGAGTGAGGGGAGTGAGGGAGTGAGGGGGAGTGAGGGAGTATATGTTTTGACATAGAGGTAGTGAGGCTGAGGGCGTGAGAGCCGCAGATGGATCTATCTTGATTAAATCCTGGAAAATGGGGAAGTGGGGAAGGACGGCTTGATGGAGTGCGCTAGTGAGGCAGTGTTTGATTCGCATTGGAGAGCATTTTGAGAATTCTCAAAAGGCAGTGTTTGATTCGAATTGGAGAGCATTTTGACGCTGCGAGGGAGTGCTAGGTTTGAATCAGAAGGGACAGCGAGGCTGAGGGTTGTTGAGGCGCGCAGATGGACCCATTTCGATTAGAGCCTAGGCTGATGTGAAGATGAGGAGTGTTTATGGGGGAGGGGAAGGAAGGAGTGTTTATGGGGGAGGGGAAGGAAGGAGTGTGGGAGTGAGGGGGTGAGAGAGTGGAAGCTCGAATAAGAACGTATTGCGATGTGAAGCTGAGAGCCCTGGGCTGCCAGATATGCGAAGCCATGCCGCGTGGCATGCGCGATACATACACCCATACATTCACACACACATGCACCATGCATGCAACATAAGGTACACAGAAGAACCCATTTGAGGCCCGTTTCTGAGCCATGGGCTGCCATGCAAAGGAAAGCCATGACGAGTTCCCTGAGCCATACATACGCATATACACACACATGCACCATGCATGCAGCATCAAAACACACCTGTGACATGACATGAGAGACGACAGAACCTGGCGACTCAACCTGCAGCATCGATCGAACCACACGTGGCATAAGAGACGGCAGAACCCACCTGCTGCGCCTGCTGCCACCCCAGCTGACTTTTGAGTCCACTCAAAAGTCAGAACCTGGCGACTCAAAAGTCAGAACCTGGCGACTCAAAAATCAGAACCTGGCGACTCAAAAGTCAGAACCTGGCGACTCAAAAGTCAGAACCTGGCGACTCAAAAGTCAGAACCTGGCGACTCAAAAGTCAGGACCTGGCGACTCAAAAGTCAGAACCTGGCGACTCAGAAGTCAGAACCTGGCGACTCAAAAGTCAGAACCTGGCGACTCAAAAGTCAGAACCTGGCGACTCAAAAGTCAGGACCTGGCGACTCAAAAGTCAGGACCTGGCGACTCAAAAGTCAGAACCTGGCGACTCAAAAGTCAGAACCTGGCGACTCAAAAGTCAGAACCTGGCGACTCAAAAGTCAGAACCTGGCGACTCAAAAGTCAGGACCTGGCGACTCAAAAGTCAGAACCTGGCGACTCAAAAGTCAGAACCTGGCGACTCAAAAGTCAGAACCTGGCGACTCAAAAGTCAGAACCTGGCGACTCAAAAGTCAGGACCTGGCGACTCAAAAGTCAGGACCTGGCGACTCAAAAGTCAGAACCTGGCGACTCAAAAGTCAGGACCTGGCGACTCAAAAGTCAGAACCTGGCGACTCAAAAGTCAGAACCTGGCGACTCAAAAGTCAGGACCTGGCGACTCAAAAGTCAGAACCTGGCGACTCAAAAGTCAGAACCTGGCGACTCAACCTGCAGCATCGATCGAACCACACGTGACATAAGAGACGGCAGAACCCACCTGGTGAGCCTGCTGCCACCCCGGCTGCTTCTGCAGCACTGCCTCCCGCATGCCTTCGTACCGCTGGTTCCACTGCAGCAGATAGGGAGGGTGGGAGGAATGGGGGAGGGTAGAGGGAATGGGAGAGGGTAGAGGGAATGGGAGAGGGTAGAGGGAATGGGAGAGGGTAGTAGGCGGAACAGGCAAGTCTGAAAGGATGGGAGAGAGGCAACACACCATCAGGAGCGTAGAGAGGGCTGCAGAATTGGAGAGGATGGGAAGAACGGGAGAGCTTTTTGAGGAGTTGGAGAAAAAGGTGACTTTTGAGTCGACTCAAAAGTCACCTGAATTGGAGAGGATGGGAAGAACGGGAGAGGATGGGAAGAACGGGAGAGCTTTTTGAGGAGTTGGAGAGACAAAAGGCCACATCAGCACAGGCAAGCAGCAGAGACACAGCACAGGTTGTGTCCGCCTACTGTCTCACATGCCCCATGCTGCATGCCCCATGCCACATGCCACATGCCATAACTCACAATCCTACATGCCATACTTCATGCTCCCACCACATGGCCTCCTCATCCCTCTCACTCATCTCCGCCCTTACCTCCACTGCCGGCCGCTGCAGCAACCAGAAGGGAAACTGCCAAGCCCCACCATGCTATACCCCATGCCATACCCCATGCCATACCCCATGCCCTACCCCATGCCATACCCCATGCCATACCCCATGCCATACCCCATCATGCTATACCACACGCCCTATCCCATGCCATATGCTATGCCATACCCCATACCATACCCCATGCCATACCCCATGCCATACCCCATGCCATACCACATGCTTCTGCATACCTGGTGCTCCCACCACACGGCCTCCTTGTCCCTCTCGCTCATCTCCACCCCTTCCTCCACTGCCGGCCGCTGCAGCAACCAGACAGCAGCTACACACCCCCCCCACCACATGCCATACCCCACGCCATACCTCATGCTATCCCACACTCACTCGCAATCTCTGTTCTAGAGCTCTCCGCCATGGCTCCTTACAGAAACTTTAGCTCAAGCAATGTTAAGCTTTTCTCTACCAGTTCAGCAATCTGAACACATTTTCTGGATCTACGCATCAAGGGCTTGATTAAGACACCGACATTGTGTTCATACCGAGAACATTGGTTAGTCTTAACTTCCCCTGTGAAGATCTTTTGAGGCGCCTCAAAAGTGGTTAGTCTTAACTTCCCCTGTGAAGATGTGTAAGTAGACGACTTTTGAGACGTCACAAAAGTTGTTCATACCGAGAACATTGGTTAGTCTTAACTTCCCCTGTGAAGATCTTTTGAGGCGCCTCAAAAGTGGTTAGTCTTAACTTCCCCTGTGAAGATCTTTTGAGGCGCCTCAAAAGTGGTTAGTCTTAACTTCCCCTGTGAAGATCTAGTTTTCAGGTTAAATGGTTGTTATTTTAAGCCCATGACATCGAGCTACTCCAAGGAAGTCACAATGGCCGAGTTCTTTCCAAAACGTCATCCAAGATGGCACGTGGGAAGCGTAACAGTTTCAGCAGAAAGTGGAAGTTTCAAGTACAAGGTCGCGACACAACGAAATATCTTCCGTCTATCAGCCTTTGCTGCTATTCATCGACAACCTCCTAACGGAAAGGAGCATCTAAATCACGTGAAGTCATATCTGCAGCAACCACTCACATCAGAAACAGATTCTGCTTTTGAGTCGACTCAAAAGCATCTAAATCACGTGAAGTCATATCAGCAACCACTCACATCAGAAACAGATTTGAAGACAGCAGGATCTAAGTCACGGACAGGTCTAGAAGATACTCTTCATTCTAACATAGCTCATGAATTTGAAGACTACGGCCGTGCCGTTTTATTGCTGGATTTTCTGAAGACGACGGTTGTTTTAAAACTAAGGACGAAGATGACGATTATGGGACGGTTCCTAAGCTTCAAGAAGCCTACCTTCAATTGGAGGACAGAGACGAAGGCCTTTCAGCATCTAGGCGCCATGAATCTGAAGTTATGTTTCTCCCAAGAGAAGAATCCGGTGCAGAGGCAGCAGACGCTCCAACCATCCTCTCCCAAAGTCAGTGCAGTGCAATTCAAGGAAGCGAGCAACAGCTCAAACCAATCAATGATGCACTAAGCCCAAACGGGCAAGATGAGATCTTCAGTCGCCTTGTCTTTAAACCCCCATAATAGGTTGCGTGCGAGGGTACGGTACAATGTACCTAAGCCCTACGAGGGCTAGTACATTGACCAAAGCCCTCCCCGAATCGGTTACGACCGTGGTGTTTCGCATTGTATAGTGCATTTTGTTTCGCATTGTATAATCTCATTATATAGTGCATTTTCACCTTTAAAAAAAAAAAGCTATCCCACACGCCCCACCCCATACCCTATGTCATAGCCCTTGCTCCTGAATGCCTTACCTGGTGCTCCCACCACACCGCCTCCTTGTCCCTCTCGCTCATCTCCACCCCTTCAGTGCCGGTCACTGCAGCAGCCAGAAGGGAAACTGCCAACCCCCACCACCACATACCATGCCCCACATCATGCCCCACGTCATACCTGGTGCTCCCACCACACGGCCTCCTTGTCCCTCTCGCTCATCTCCACCCCTTCCTCCACTGCCGGCCGCTGCAGCAGCCAGAAGGCAGCGCGGTTGGGGTCCTGCATTGCCTCAGGGGATGGCTAAGGGGGGGGGGGGGGGGAAGCGGAGAAAGGGAGGGGAGAGAGGCTGGATAGTGGACAAGAGAGCAGCAGGCAGAAGGCAGCGCGGTTCGGATCTTGCATTGCCTCGGGGGATGGCTGAGAGGGAGAAGCGGAGAAAAGGGGGAAAGGGAGATGCGGATGGGAGAGGGAGAAGGTCTGCAGACAAGAGAAAGGCAACCAGAAGGCAGCGCGGTTCGGTTCCTGCATTGCCTCGGGGAATGGCTGTGAGGAGAGGAGAGAAAAAGGGAGGGAAGAGAGAGGAGGTGCATGGAGAAGGGTTGAGGAGGTGCGCAAGAGGGCCGCTGCAGCAACCAGAAGGCAGTGCGGCTGGGGTCTTGCATTGCCTCAGGGGATGGCTGTGGGGGAGGGAGGGAGGCATAATGTGAATGGATGGTGCACGAACTTGAGCACCAGTTGATTGAGCCCCCGTTCGACCAATAGGGTCGGACAGAGGGGAACGGGAGTGGGATGAGACGGTGTGGTAGTTAGGTTACCGGTTTGTTTGCTTGTTATGCATGTGTTTCCATCTACCTTTGTAACACCCCCTGATTAATGGAAGGGCCGTTCGAGGGGTAGGAAGTAGGGGCAGGGGAATGGGAGGCTTATGCTGGAGAGAAGAGAGAGAAGGTAGGAGGGAAAGGGCCGAGCGACAGACAAGAGAGCCACGGGCAGACTTGACACACACACACTCATGACATGGCACTTGATTTGTATCCACGCGAGATTTAGACATATCTCAGCTCTCTGAGATATGACTAAATCTCGCAGCCTTGACACACACACACACACTCATGACATAACACTTGATTTGTATCCCTAGTATGCTATGCTCCATGGCACTCATGGCAAACACACCTAGCCTGGGTTTAGGGTTACCACAATACAATGCAACATGTATCACAAACAACATGTACCATCCGTTGCAACTCATCTCAGGCATCAGAGCATCACATCACAACACGTACCACGTCGGGTTTGGCCATGCGGTACACATCCCAGTGTGCACGGTCACATGCCCTGCCATGGCATGGCAGATCATCATCACATCACATGCCCTGCCATGGCATGGCAGATCATCATCACATCACATGCCCTGCCATGGCATGGCAGATCATCATCACATCACATGCCCTGCCATGGCATGGCAGATCATCATCACATCACATGCCCTGCCATGCCATGTGTCATGCCACGCTACGTACCATGACGGGTTTGGCCATGCGGTACGCATCCCAGGCTTTCAGTGGCGAGTCCAGCACCTGGGAGCAGGGCAGGGAAGAGGGGCGGGAAGAAAGGCGGAGCAAACATGAGAGGAAGAGGGGCGGAAGAGGGCAACCGGGGGATAAGTCAGGGAGGGCCATGCGGTACGCATCCCAGGCTTTCAGTGGCGAGTCAAGCACCTGGGGGAGAGAGGGAAGAGGGGTGGAAGAGGGGGAATGGGGGAAATGGGTGTCACTCCTGGCGTTCCTATCAAGTGCATGAGGTTTGGCCATGCAGTACGCATTCCAGGCTTTCAGTGGCGAGTCCAGCACCTGGGGGAGAGAGGGAAGAGGGGCGGACGTGAGAAGAACGGACAGGTGGGGGAAGAGGGGTGGGGGACGGGGAAGGAGGTGGAGGGAAGCGGTTGGGGGAAAGTGGAGGGGGGGAAGAAGGGCAAGCGAGAACGAACAAGTATCATCATCTTCATGTCTACCAGCCAGCCCTCACATTCCACCCTGGCTGGCGGATGTGGTTTTATGCTTCCACCGTCCACGTGTCTGCGTTGCACACCAAGCACTTTATACCCCTTAACATTGTTGAGTAATAACACGGGATGGCATATGTGGCAGCAGAGCATGTAACATTCAGACACACACGCAATCCCTCTCCCTGCGCCCCACTGGAATTCCATGCGTTATCCCTCAGTCTGCTCTCGCATCACATCTCACTCACCCTATCGGATGTAATCTGGCACTTTCTCACAACTCGCCAAAGCATACCATACCAGGCATTGTGAGGCGCCTCGAAAGCCGCCTCCAATGCACACAGAACACCTCACCACTTTCAAGGACCGACCCAAGGACGTGGCGCAGCAGCGTGAGGACCAGACCAGCAACACAATCCCTCTCCCTGCAAACCCCCCGCCCTCTCACGTCTCACTCACCCTGTCGAACGTGATCTTGTGCTTCCGCGCGTCGCCAATGCACACAGAACACCTCATAACCCCCAATCCGTGGCACGTGGGGCAGAGCGAGACACAAACACAGACAGTCCCTTCAAACCCTGATCCTCTCTCACCCGGTCGAATGTGATCTTGTGCTTCCACGCGTCTCCGTTGCACACCGAACACTTCATAACCGCCAACCCGTTGCACGTGGGGCAGAGAGAAACAGCAGGGCAAGGCTCGAACACACACGCATATGATCCATCTCCTTGCATTGCACCCCTGCCTGGTCTGCCCTTCTCCTCAAAGCTCACCCGGTCGAACGTGATCTTGTTTTTCCACGCGTCTCCATTGCACACAGAGCATTTCATCACCCCTGACCCGTGGCACGTGGGGCAGAGAGAAACAGAGGCAGCAGCTGCGGAGGAAGAGGAGGAGACGGCGGGGTGAGGTGATGCCACGAGGAGGGTTTGCCCAGTGGACCTGAGGGTTGGGGGGAGGAGGGATTGGGGGAAAGGGGGTTGGGTTAAGGAGGCGTTGGGGAAATTGGCGCCTCAAACTTCGCCCCCTGACCCGTGGCACATGGGGCACAGTGAGGCAGATGCAGAGGCGGAGGAGGAGGAAGAGGAGAGGGCGGGGTGAGGTGATGCCACCAGAAGAGATTGCCCAGAGGACCTGAGGGTTGGGGGGAAGGGGGAATGAAGGAAAGAGCAGGATGTGGGGCACGGTGAGGAAGAAGTAGAGGAGACGGCGGGATGGGGTGATGCCACGAGGAGAGAGATTGCCCAGAGGACCTGAGGGTTGGGGGGAAGGGGGGTTGAAGGAAAGAGGAGCATGTTTGGTATGTGGGGCATGTGGGGAACAGTGAGGCACAGAGAGGCAGTGGCAGAGGAGGAGACGGCCTGGTGTGGTGATGCCACCAGAAGAGATTGGCCAGAGGACCTGAGGGTTGGGAAAGGGGTTGTAGAAGGGTGGGTGGGGGGGGGGGGGTTGGGGGAAGAGGGTTTGGGGAAAGGGGTTGATCAGGAAAGAAGGGTTGGGTTGGGTGTGCATTTCTGAGTCGACTCAAGATTAGACTTAGAGGATAAGGCACAGCATGGCATGGAAAGAAACCGTGGAAGGGGGATGGGGAGGAAAGAAACCGAGGAAGGGGGATGGGGAGGAAAGAAACCGTGGACAGGGGATGGGGAGGAAGGAAACCGTGGAAGGGGGATGGGGAGGAAAGAAACCGTGGAAGGGGGATGGGGAGGAAGGAAACCGTGGAAGGGGGATGGGGAGGAAGGGGATGATTGGGAAATGCATACAGGATGGGCCATGGGAATAGGAGGTAGGTTGCATGGCAGATCAGCATAGAATCGGGGGAGCATGGAACTGGGGGTATGGGAAATGGGGCATGGCATAGGCCATGGAGTGGGAATAGGAAATTGCATACAGACAAGGGATGGTACGCACTTGCTGGATGGCAGGGCTTGTCTTCTAGTGTGTCCTGTTCCTCGGCATGTAGTGCACGCCACTCCTTCCCACCCGTTGCATCCCTCACACTCCCTGTGTGTGGCACGGCAGCATGGCATGGAAAAGGCACAGCATGGATTGAAAACGGTATGTGGGCATGGCATGGCATGGTGGCATGGAATAAGCCTAGCACGGCATGGCATGCACACGGAGAGTGAGACAGTATAAAGGACAAAAACGAGGGAAAGGATTCACACGACTGCAACAGCAACTCTTAATTCCAGCCCATCCCATTTCAACCCAGGAACCAACTTGCCCAGTCCCTCCCACGCCATCCTAAGTGGCGTGGCCCAACTTAACTAGCAACGTTCTACGTGGCACCATCCTACCTGGCATCGTCTTACGTGGCACCATCCTACCTGGCGCCATATAACCGAGCGACGAAGTCAGTGGTGATGGCTGCTGTGCCCGCTGCTGCTACTGCCTGCAGTTACAGTGGACGAGGTTCAGGGTTTGCAGGACTGAAAGCTATCGCTGACAGAACTTCCAGTTGCAATGACCGAAATCTCATCCGAAATGCGTATACCGAAGTGTAACTTCCTGGCAATAATTCCGTTCGATTGTGTCACACGGCTGATTCCTTTCAGGCGTCAGGGGAAGCTGGCAAAGGAGGAACCTCGAGTAAATCGGAATGAGAGCACGAGAAAAGCGGACCTGACAGGAAGGAAACCCTACGTCTACGGAGGAACAGACATTGCGAGACAGAACGGCATGAAAGGAAAACGGCTCGGTAGGAATGGGTAACAGCACAGTCGGAACGGAAAAAAGGTTAAGGAACGGGAAATGGGTAAGCTGGTCGGCTTACGAAGCATCCGAAGCTGGCGATGCTGGTAACCGCCCTGGGAATGCCGAGGCCCGTTCGCAGCGCCTCCTGCGACTCGGTGCGTAGCTCGAAAACGAGCTCCTGCGCGAATTGCGCCGCGGCTTGCGCGACGCCCTGCACCTGCTGAACTGCGCGGGCGATAGGAGGCGGCACCATGGCGAGTGTACGGCAGGTTAGGTTGGTCTCGAGGCGCCGGAAACCACCCGTGTGGCCTTCGGAAATGAGCGAAAAAGAAAGCTAGTCGTTCCTTGCTGTAATGTCCAAACCTAGGGAATAAGTTGTCAAAGAAGAGAGTGCGCAGAATGCAATATCGAGGAAGTGATTACTCGAAGGTTCATACGCGCTGAAACAGTAAAAACACAGGCGAGTTCATACACCACAGAACATTCCGACAGCAAACCCAGCCACATGCTACTGTACCGAGTTCGTATCTTCAGAGGGACCCCCCCTCGACAATTTTGGGATCTAACAAAACTAGGTTTCTGCGTCAACTGATCGTCTGCACGTCTTGTATACGCTTTAGCCAGCGATGGCTGCTCTAGACCTTGAGGCTCTAAAGAGTTACGTGCGAGATGGTCCCACGGGTTCCGGCGCCCTTGCTGCTCCTAACGACGGCGACACCGTGTCTCTGCTCGTAACGCACAGTCATCTGAAGCGGCAATTCATTGACATGAAGTTCTCGCTAAGTGCAAGTTCACCGAGTCGCTCCCCTTCATCAGCAGACCTATTCGTCATTTTGTTTCCTTGACTTGTTATTCTTGTGTGATAGTTTGAATTCGCACGTTGACGCGAAAAAACTTAACGTCGTTCCATTATCTGAGAAAAGTACCCGTTTTTGGATTCATAGATTCGTACAATTCGTGCTGTTCTCTCTCTGAGCAGAGCTCTGTAGAGCGCGTGAAGGAGCAGCTTCAGGTGCACACCGGAACAGCCGTGTCAGCCATGCAGCTGCAGCTTTTCAGTGCTTCCAGCAAGTCGTCAGAAACAGACACATTGTTACATTCCGGACTCGAGGACATTCGACTGCTGGGATACTACTCCCCTCAAAACGGGTACTCTTCATGACCCAAGCTTACTGGCCTTTCAAGTGAGGCTCCTGACGATGGAAGTGATTATATTGAGCGACGCCCAATCTCTGCATATTTGAGTTTGAATTTTCTTTTTGTTTTGGACAGGTACCGTCTCCACGTGATTGACACTGATCCCACCTCAGCAGCTGCCTCTGGATGGCTGGACGACACGTCCTTGGTGGAGAAATACACGATTTCTGAAGAAGATTATGAAAAACGAGATGGTAAATGATGCGGAATCCATCTTTCCACGAGCAACGTCTGACAATGTTTCACTGTCAGGAACTCACACTTCAACACATTTCTAACAGATTCTGTTCGGAGGTTCAAGCAACAACTGTATACTGCACGGCCTGACCTTGCCCCTCAGCCTGTAAGCTCGATCTTCCTTCCTGCTGTTGGACTTCTCTCGTCCAAAATCAAATCTCCTGATGTTTCAGATATCAATAGGGACCTTGAAACGTTCTGGTTTCCCCATTTCAGGGTACTTCTGCGGACTTCATGGCTGACATTGCAGCAACCATAAAGGTGTCGAATTTCTCTCAAATGGCGCATCAAGTGTGCCCCATACCAGCATCCTGTTTTTCGTGTCACACAATCTGGTTCTTGAAATCCTCACCTTCATTGTTCTTGTTTTCAACTCTGAGTCAGCTGTCTGCTTGCAGGTTGGCGACAGATGTGAGGTGGACCCAGGCGGCAAGAGAGGAAGCGTTGCCTTTGTGGGCACTGTAGATGTTCTTCCTAATGGATTCTGGGTGGGAGTGAAGTTCGATGAGCCTGTGGGGGTCAATGATGGAAGGTGCGTAGATTTATTATTATTATTATTATTATTATTATTATTATTATTATTATTATTATTATTATTATTATTATTATTATTATATATTGTTGAGCTTCTATTGTTCCACCCTTCTCTTTCAGCTTCTTTTTTTCTCTCTTCTGTGTTGCTGCGTTATCATGCCCAGCATTCTAATGCAGGCCGCATAGCTTGCATTGTGGCTTCTTTTGTCTCTACTTGCAGTGTGGAGGGTAAGAAGGTCTTTCATTGTGAGCGCAATTACGGCTCGTTTCTGCGGCCAGACAAAGTCAAAGTGAGAGGGGCTAGTTGCCTTTTAACCCAGTAATTTTCCCTTCTTCCAGAGTGCAATTTGATTCTGATTCCACCTTCTGCCTTGACAGATTGGAGAATACCCTGAAAGAGATCCGTTTGACGATGACGAGCCTGATGAGTTTTAATGTCAAAATATGGCAGTGGCGTCAGAGGGGTCGTGCAGGGGCTGCTTTCAAGGCGTGGGAGTCAGCGTCTCCCTCTATCCTTGGGTTTGGTACTGACCATATGCATTGTATTCCACCACTACTCACCCCCATCACTGCCCTCATTGCCGCTGTCGTCGCTGCCCGCTGATGCTTCCATGGCAGCGGCGTCAGGGGCCGTGCAGGGGCTGCCCGCATATCACTATCTGTGGGGGGGAGTCGGAGGCAGTGAGGAGAGGTGGGGGAAAGGGGATATGCAAGGGTGGTGCAAGGAAAAGGGGAAAAGGGGTGATGTTTTAGTTGACTCGACAGTCAAGGCGGGGGAGAGGTGTCAGACGGGCCGTGCAAAGGTGTAGCAAGCCAATTACATGTCATGCTTTCAGTGATATAAAGAAAACGGTGTAGCTTATTTGAGTAGTTAAACCTGTTTGCCAGCTACTTTGTAGTTTCAACCTCTACTTTTGTCGCAACATATTGAAGTGGCCAAATTTTCCGACCTTTCCTCACCGCAGGCATAATAAGGGCGGCTCCAACTTTGCACACTCCCGTTTTTTTCGCCATTTTAACGTCAATGCACTAGTCAAACTTAACTGTACCCCAGGGCGAACTCCAAACATTTCCTGTCCAGTTCCGAGTGCGCAATTCGGACTTTTGACAGGGTACAGTAACGCTGCGGGGTACAGTACCTGGGATGAGGGGTTACCCAACAAAGCGAGTTTTTTCGCGCCAGTGACGGAGGTGGGATTCATTGGCGAAAAACAAATTTGCGAAAAAGGGTGCTACCTTCTGGCGTGTTTGATGCGAAACGAGTTTGACGTGAACCTTCGGACGGGTTCTGCACGTCCCCGGGCACGTTTCCGTAATGTCATCACACATGTACAGTCTCGCGTCAAATGTATTATGGTACGTTTGTTGTAAGGAATTTTCCAGAATTCTTTATTGGGGTTGACTGCTTCTTGTACAACCCGATTTTCGGAGTTAGCACGTTCGGCCGATTTCAACGCTACCGAGGCTCCTCGCGTCGCCTTCGGCATTTCCATCGCCAAACCTGCACCCAACCTCGCTCGACCGAGGTTTCTTCCTAGCCAGGCTAGCCCTACATTAGTCTGTGCATTCATTGTATTCTTATTTCATTCAATCACAGTCTCGTTATTCGTTTTACCTGCGCACTCTCTTTTACAACTCATAACATTTGTAGTTCTGTTACTTGCCGAAATGTGGTAACTGAGCTGAAAAAATATTGAGCATGTTCAAAGCTGGACACGCCCTAACTGTTGTGGGCATGCTGCGTGGTATCCAGTCGTGTTCGAGGCAGGGCTGACGTTTCAGATGTTTCGCGAGCGAATCTCGAACGTCCCTACTTTGTGGGAGAGCCGTGTTGTGTGATGCCACCTCTACGATAACCTGAAACATCCGTGTGCCGTAAGAACACATGCCGTGCTTTAGACCCCCCTCACAACATATGTTTCCCGTAGTCGTGAACGTAGCTCCTAAAAAACAAACCCCCCCGCAACTCCGACGATACCCCAACGTGACTTTCTGAATCACCAATTTCTGAGATGTCGTGCATTGCATCCCCGGCATCCACGCCCTTCTCGCTCCTTGTCCCGCCATTCGCTCGACACTGCTCCGTTCAATCGGTCGTGCCTGCGTTACTCCATAACCCTGTTCTTCGCCAGCCAGCCGCAAGCCTTGACTCTCCTCAGCCTCTCCCCTCACCCGCGTCTTCCAGCTTTCCTTCTCGTCTATCCCCTTCCTTTACTCCCTCTGTCCGTGCTTCCTCACTTCATGGAAACCCACCGAACCTGACGCCAGTGTTTCGACTCAGTAGGCTCGAGGCATCCGAACGTGCAGTGGCCGTGTATCATGAAACCAATGCGTCTGCCAGGTCGGCACGGTTGGATTCCAATACCACTGGATTGAGAAGCGATCTACCTGAGGGCTCAAGGGAAGAGAGATTCGTCAGGAGTTCGGAGAGTAGATCGGTAGAGTACGATAGCAGCGATGACCAGGAGATTCAGTTCGCGGGTTCCCTCAGCGATAGTGCTTGCAGCGACGGTGATTATACCAGCGAGAGTGATAATGACACAATCGAGGATACGGCTGTCGGGGTTTACGCAGAGAAAATAGTCTGCTTGGTCAGGCCTGAGGCCCCTCTCATTGCGAATCTGCAAAAAGGAGACCTGAGGCCCCTCTCCAGCTCTCCAGTTCTCCAAAAAGGAGACGGAGATTCCAGTTCTTCTCTCGCGAGCCCAGAGCATCCGACAGCATCAACGCGCGGCTCTCAAAGAGCGGCAGCGGGAGCGCCAGCAATTGCAGCAGCATCTGAAACAAGAGAATCTGATAAGCTTATGGCAATCCGACGGCCTAGATTGCTCCGTCCAGTGCCTGTATCTGCATCTGTCGAATTGAAGGCCAAAGGCTTTCAAGATACGCGGGTGTTTCGCAGAAAAGGGCGCATTTTGCAGAAACAATCAGACCAATCAGCGACGTCCTCAGCAGCAACACCAACACCAGCCACACCACCACCAACCCCATCGTTACAAGCAGCCAAACCAGCACGACCGCTATTAGCGATACCGCCGTCCCCTCCCTCCTCTTACTTTACCTCCTCCTCCTCCTCCTCCTCCTCCTCCTCCTCCTCCTCCTCCTCCTCCTCCTCCTCCTCCTCCTCCTCCTCACCCTCCTCCTCCTCCTCCTCCTCCTCCTCCTCACCCTCGTCCTCCTCCTCCTCCTCCTCCTCCTCCTCCTCCTCCTCCTCCTCCTCCTCCTCCTCCTCCTCCTCCTCCTCCTCCTCCTCCTCCTCCTCCTCCTCCTCCTCGTCCACCCCCCCTACCCCTCGCCCCCTGCAGTCGACAGTGTGGGTGAACAAGGCAGCGCCCAGAGCCCCCCGCCACAGAGCAGACAGGATGGCGAACCGAAGCCCCGTCAGCGACCGCGTGCTACAGGCGATTGTGACTATACAGAGGGCCAGGCGAGTGGCTGGAGAAGGCGCCAGGGGAGGCCAGGGAGGTATAAGGGGTGTAGAGAGTCAGCAAGGTCAAGCAAGTCAACGGAGCCATGGTGGAGGGGCGGATGGGAGGGTGCGTGGCGGGGGGGGGGTCGCTGAAGGCGGTGGTGGCGGAGGTGGCGGGGGCGCTGGAGAAGCGGGAGGTGGAGGAGCTTATGACGGAGCTGCAGCGACGCCACGACTGGAAGGCCACCCTCGAGGTGACGAGACGCACACTGTTGGGGCATCGTGTATGAACAAGTGTTTTGAAACGTCTCAACACGCTCTGTTTGGGCGTCTCCTCTCCTCTAGTTCAATCTCGCTGCTCCAATGAGAACGACGGTCAGCGCGCAACCGCTGCAACCCCTGCCCGTTTCCTCCGCTCCCCATCCCTTCTCCTTCCGAAGGCGCATCTCTATCGTGGGCTTCTTACCCACCCAGTGGCGTCTCCTTTCTCCTCACCTCCTCCCCTTCCTCCCCGCCCTCCGCCCCTCTGCGATCCGGCAGGTGTTTGCGTGGAGCCAGCAGCAGGCGTGGTTCCGGCCCAACATGCGGCTGTACAACGCACTCATGGGCTTCCTGGCCAGGGAGCAGCAGGCGCACGCCGCCACGCTGCTCTTCCAGGACATGCTGCTGTCGCGCGCGCGCCCCAATCACTTCACGTACACCGCACTCATCAACGCGTACGGCCGCGCCGGGTGGTTCGAGGACGCCCTCGCTGTGTTCCACCACATGAAGACGTGCGATGATGATGACTGCCGGTGAGGGGAAGGCACTGAGGGGAAGGCACTGAGGGGAAGGCACTGAGGGGAAGGCACTGAGGGGAAGGCACTGAGGGGAAGGCACTGAGGGGAAGGCACTGAGGGTTATTTGAGAATTCTCAAGAAACGGACGCCCTCGCTGTCTTCCACCAGATGAAGACGTGCGATGATGATGACTGCCGGTGAGGGGAAGGGGGCCCAATGAGGGTTACTACGATACCACCACGGTGTGCCATGCCATGCCCCTTCACATCGAACCCCTTCCCCAAACCACCTGTGCAACTCACTGTAAAACCTCTCGACCCCTTGCCACCATTCTGCCATCCCATCGCACCCGCCCAGGCCCAACACAGTGACGTGTAACGCGCTGATTGGTGCGCTGTGCAAGGGGGGCATGTATGACGAGGCGGTGGAGGTGTTCATGGACATGCGTGCGGGGGCGGGCGGGGCGGGCGGCCTGCCACTCAACTGCAGGTCAGCCACATGAGAACAGTAGAGGTTTGAGGCGTCTCAAAACTCTACTTTCAGCAAGGGGGGCATGTATGACGAGGCGGTGGAGGTGTTTATGGACATGCATGCGGGGGCGGGCGGCCTGCCACTCAACTGCAGGTCAGCCGTGCCGTGCCGTGCCGTGCCGTGCTGGGCCCACAGTGGGTGGGTACCTGGAGAAGAACCATTGTGGGCGTGTACGCTTATGCAGGGAGAGGAGGTGCAGTGCAGCCAGCTACGGCCCTTATGCCCTGCTCTGCTAGCACGTTGATTTCAGAGACAGACACCCTTCACGCGCAGGGTGACAGCGACACCCTGCCGGGGCGCGAGACGAGGCAGAGTGGGGACGAACTGGACCACGCCATGCGGACATGGCGCAGCGGGGGACTGCGACGGCGGGGGAAACCTCGGTGCGGGTTGATGTGCTCCAGGGGACGAGCACAGAGGTGAGGACGGACGAAATCGGAGACGCCACGGGTGATGCTGTGCAGCGCTGGCGTGTAGAGTGGCCGGATAGCTCCTTGGGCCGGGCGGGCCTAGTCATCGCGTCCTCACCAAATCCTGGCGCACGCAGCGGGAAAGTGTCGGTATCGAAAGAGGTGACAAGGGGGGTGGATGTGCGTGCGACGGCATTACCAACGCAGCTGAAAGAGGCGGAAAAGGGCCGCCTGCTCGTTGCCAGGCGCCGCGCAAGTGGACGTCAGCGGCGCACTGCAACGCGGCAAAGTCGGTGTGGCGCAGCGCGTATGATATTGATGATCGGGCAAGGCAGGGCGCTGAAGATGCGTGGGCACCGGTGCAGCAGACGAGTCCGCGTGCAAACGAGGACAGAAGCATGCCCGCATGTGCAGAAAGGGGTATGGTATCGCAAGCCGCCCGGCAAACCCGCCTCGCGTGTAGCCCAGGAGAGACGAGGCAGCTCGTCTTGGCGCGACCCTGCACCGCGTTGCGACCCTCGTGGCAACGGTGAGATCGTTACTGCACCGAGCGCAGCAAGGATTGCATGTTGTACCAGTCATTGCCACCAAAACGATCACTTCCACGTGCCGCTGCCAAAGCCCCCTGCATGAAGTGATCGTTTTGGTGGCAATGACTGGTACAACATGCAATCCTTGCTGCGCTCGGTGCAGTAACGATCTCACCGTTGCCACGAGGGTCGCAACGCGGTGCAGGGTCGCGCCAAGACGAGCTGCCTCGTCTCTCCTGGGCTACACGCGAGGCGGGTTTGCAGGGCGGCTTGCGATACCATACCCCTTTCTGCACATGCGGGCATGCTTCTGTCCTCGTTTGCACGCGGACTCGTCTGCTGCACCGGTGCCCACGCATCTTCAGCGCCCCGCCTTGCCCGATCATCAATATCATACGCGCTGCGCCACACCGACTTTGCCGCGTTGCAGTGCGCCGCTGACGTCCACTTGCGCGGCGCCTGGCAACGAGCAGGCGGCCCTTTTCCGCCTCTTTCAGCTGCGTCGGTAATGCTGTCGCACGCACATCCACCCCCCTTGTCACCTCTTTCGATACCGACACTTTCCCGCTGCGTGCGCTAGGATTTGGTGAGGACGCGATGACTAGGCCCGCCCGGCCCAAGGAGCTATCCGGCCACTCTACACGCCAGCGCTGCACAGCATCACCCGTGGCGTCTCCGATTTCATCTTTCCTCACCTCTGTGCACGTCCCCTGGAGCACATCAACCCGCACCGAGGTTTCCCCCGCCGTCGCAGTCCCCCGCTGCGCCATGTCCGCATGGCGTGGTCCAGTTCGTCCCCACTCTGCCTCGTCTTCACAAGTGCAGATCTGGCAGACAGTGAAGAGCAGACTAGTTCTCAGAGGAAAATGGTTCCTTGCATATCTCAGCTTCTCGCTCCTTCCTCTTACAAATTGGCATACAATACGCTCATGTGCGGGTTTGAGGTTTCTCAATCCTTCTCATTTGTTTGACCTTCCCTCTACCCCTCTCATCCCCCTCGCCACGCACGTCTTTCCCCCCCCCCAGGCCCAATATAGTGACATACAACACGCTCATCGACACCTTGTGCCAGGTTTTGAGTCGACTCAAAACACGCCTCTACCCCTCTCATCCCCCTCGCCACGCACGTCTTTCCCCCACACGTCTTTGCCCTCCAGGCCCAACATAGTGACGTACAACACGCTCATCGACACCTTGTGCCGGGAAGGCCAGCTCGATGCCGCTCTGCAGGTGGGTATGCCGCTCTGCAGGTGGGTATGCCGCTCTGCAGGTGGGTATGCCGCTCTGCAGGTGGGTATGCCGCACGACCACGGTTTGCTGGTGTGGATACGGTTTGCTGGTGTGGATACGGTTTGCTGGTGCAACACGGTGAGCTAGCTGGTGCACATTGTGCATACACCCATCTCATACATTTCGGTTCTGCTCCACCGCATTGAGCTGGTGCACATTGTGTATACACCCATCTCATGCATTGAGCCGGTTTGGTTCTGCTCTACCGCATGCACCAGCTACACCTCCCAACTTCACTACCCCCCATCCTCATACCCCACCCCACTCGCCCCCCAGGTGCTGGAGGAGGACCTCTCATCGGGCGTGCTGGACTCCCAGGTGGCGCCCAACATAGTCACATTCAACACCATCATCAACATAGTGACCTCACTTTTGAGAATTCTCAGAAGTGCTTTCTATATACCCATCCTCCATACCCCACCCCACTCGCCCCCCAGGTGCTGGAGGACCTATCATCAGGCGTGCTGGACTCCCAGGTGGCCCCCAACATAGTCACATTCAACACCATCATCAACGCCTGTGGCAAGGCTTTTGAGACGTCTCAAAAGTCCATACCCCACCCCACTCGCCCCGCAGGTGCTGGAGGACCTCTCATCAGGCGTGCTGGACTCCCAGGTGGCCCCCAACATAGTCACATTCAACACCATCATCAACGCCTGTGGCAAGGCTTTTGAGACGTCTCAAAAGTCCATACCCCACCCCACTCGCCCCGCAGGTGCTGGAGGACCTCTCATCAGGCGTGCTGGACTCCCAGGTGGCCCCCAACATAGTCACATTCAACACCATCATCAACGCCTGTGACAAGGCTTTTGAGACGTCTCAAAAGTCCATACCCCACCCCACTCGCCCCGCAGGTGCTGGAGGACCTCTCATCAGGCGTGCTGGACTCCCAGGTGGCCCCCAACATCATAACATTCAACACCATCATCAACGCCTGTGGCAAGGCTTTTGAGACGTCTCAAAAGTCCATACCCCACCCCACTCGCCCCGCAGGTGCTGGAGGACCTATCATCAGGCGTGCTGGACTCCCAGGTGGCCCCCAACATAGTCACATTCAACACCATCATCAACGCCTGTGGCAAGGCTTTTGAGACGTCTCAAAAGTCCATACCCCACCCCACTCGCCCCGCAGGTGCTGGAGGACCTCTCATCAGGCGTGCTGGACTCCCAGGTGGCCCCCAACATAGTCACATTCAACACCATCATCAACGCCTGTGGCAAGGCTTTTGAGACGTCTCAAAAGTCCATACCCCACCCCACTCGCCCCGCAGGTGCTGGAGGACCTCTCATCAGGCGTGCTGGACTCCCAGGTGGCCCCCAACATAGTCACATTCAACACCATCATCAACGCCTGTGGCAAGGCGGGCCGTGCCCCCGACGCCGAGGCCACGCTGCACGCCATGGAGCGCACCGGCATGCCACCGGACGGCATCACGTTCACCGCGCTCGTCGACGCGTACGGCCGCACGGGCGACGTGGAGCGAGCCGAGGAGGCGTTTCAGCGCATGCTGCAGGCGGGCATCTCCCCGGACGTGTTCTCCTACACAGCCCTCATGGCTGCGTTTGGCCGCGCTGGCCTGTCCGACCGGGTCACGGAGACGCTGGCTGCCATGCAGCGTGCAGGCGTGCCGCCCAACGAGGTGACGTTTCTGACCGTGCTGGACGCCCACGGCAAAGCGGGTAACTACGAGGAGGCTGAGGCCACGCTCGCCGTCATGGTTACGTGCGGTTACCGCCCGTCGGTGTACAGTTGGAGCTGCTTGATTGACGCGTTTGGGAAGGCTGGGCTGTATGCCAAGGCAGCAGGGGCGTTTGAACGCATGCAGGCCGAGGGGTGCCGCCCGAATCTGATCACGTATGCAGCCATTTTGTCTGCTTGTGCGCGGTGCGATAAGTGGGAAGACGCGCTGGAGCTGCTGTACTGCCTGCAGAGGACTGGCGGCGAATGGGAAGTTGCCATGTGTCGCCTCGTGATGGCAGGTCCAGAGGAGGAAGGAGTCGAGTGTGCGAGCGAGGAGGAGATGCTGGAGGGACTGGTGAGAGGAGGGGCGCGGGGAGGGGCGGGCAGGAGGGGCGAGAGGGCGGACGAGGGGCTGTGGGAGTCGGCAGGGCGGATGTTTGGTGCGTTTCAGGCGGTGCCGCTGCCCATGCGCCGCTCCTTCTACAACGCTCTGGCCGACGTGCTCTGGAGCTTTGGCATGCGGCGCCGCGCTGCGCGCGTGGTGGCTCTGGGCCGCGGCCTGGGCGTGTACGGCGGCGCAGATGACCTGCACAAGGAGGCGCGCGGTGCACGCAGGGTGGGCGCGGGGCGCAGGGAGAGCAGCAGCAGTGGCAGTGAGAGTGAGAGTGGGAGTGGGAGTGGTAGTGGGAGTGGCAAGCAGAGGGGTGGGGGGGGCGGCAGCGGCAGGGGCGGGGGCATGTGGAGGGAGGAGGGCGTTTGGAGTGTGGACCTACACGAGCACTCCATCGGCTCCGCCTGCGCCTTCCTCTACCTCTGGCTCCGCGACCTGCGCACCGCCTGGCAGGTAAGCCAAAGCCGACTTTTGAGCCGACTCAAAAGTCCGTCTGGAGTGTGGACCTCCACGAGCACTCCATCAGCTCCGCCTGCGCCTTCCTCTTCCTCTGGCTCCAGGACCTGCGCACCGCGTGGGAAGTTTGCCAAAGCCAGGGGGCAGGGGAGAGGCTACAGGGGAAGGGAGATTGGGGAGAGTGGAGGGTGTAGATTCTGGAAAGGGTATTGCTCGTGCCATTGTGTCCTGGTGCCCACTGCCTGTGCATTGTGTCCTGGTGCCCACTGCCTGTGCATTGTGTCCTGGTGCCCACTGCCTGTGCATTGTGTCCTGGTGCCCACTGCCTGTGCATTGTGTCCTGGTGCCCACTGCCTGTGCATTGTGTCCTGGTGCCCACTGCCTGTGCATTGTGTCCTGGTGCCCACTGCCTGTGCATTGTGTCCTGGTGCCCACTGCCTGTGCATTGTGTCCTGGTGCCCACTGCCTGTGCATTGTGTCCTGGTGCCCACTGCCTGTGCATTGTGTCCTGGTGCCCACTGCCTGTGCATTGTGTCCTGGTGCCCACTGCCTGTGCATTGTGTCCTGGTGCCCACTGCCTGTGCATTGTGTCCTGGTGCCCACTGCCTGTGCATTGTTTCCTGGTGCCCACTGCCTGTGCATTGTGTCCTGGTGCCCACTGCCTGTGCATTGTGTCCTTGTGCCCACTGCCTGTGCATTGTGAGCGTACCTCTTCATGCCTCCCCATTATGAGATAGCACCAATTCTCTCATCTCTCGCTTCCCAATTCTCACCAATCCCCCATCCATCCGTCAAACTCCCTCCACTCTCTCATCTCCTTGCTCTTCCTCCCTGCGTGCCGCCCTCCATGCCCCCTGCCCCCTGCCTGCCTGTGTGCCTGCGCATGGCCCAGTGGCACAATGAGATCCCGGAGGCCATCGATATAGTCACGGGGTGGGGGCGCCACAGCAAGCGCAAGGACGCCACGTCAGACAAGCCAGCACAGGTGGCGCCCCTCAAGGCAGCCATCCTGAGGGAGCTGCACCTCATGCGCTCGCCCTTCCAGGAGCTTTCTGTCAATGCCGGTCGTCTAGTGGCGGGCGGGTGGGCGGCGTACTCGTGGCTGTTGCAGGAGGAGATGGGGGAGCAGCTGCAGCTCAGGGACGCGCCCCAGCCCGTACCTCCTGGGGACAAGCCGTACCAACCACTGTAACAGACTCAGTAGATAAGGAGCACGCACCCGTTTCCAGGTGCTGTTATTTGTTGCTCAATGGGCTTTGTTGTGACATGTGACATGCTCCCACATGAATTATGGCAACACAGTGTGCCATGTACCGTAATTATACAACGCATAGATACCATATTCCAGCAACTAGTAAAATCAGCACAAAGATATCTTCAGCTGTCGTAGCGCCAGCTAGGAGGTGAGAGGCAGAGAGTGAGGCGGTCAGGAGTAGAAGCGGGAGAGGAGAACGGAGTGCAGTGCACGTAGTCGAGCACAATGTCGTCCTCCAGCCCCTGGAAAAGCACCCCCGCATGACTCACTAGCACCTAGAGCAGTAGCATCTATACCAGCAGCACAAGGCATACACGAGTAATGGGCACCCTCGGCACTAATAACATCAACATACATAGCATGGAGTCTGTTGATCTGAACAAAGTCAATAGCAAACACATCCACTCCCTTCGCTATCAATCCCAGCCAGTTGGGGACCTCCTGCTCATCACCGTACTCAGTGCGCCAGGCATCCTCGAGACGGACGAAGCAGCGATACTCAGTGTGCCGAGTCTTCCCGCGGGTCTCACCCTTCTTGAGACCCGTGCGCCTGACATACGTGCATCGAACAGAGCCCCCTGGGGAACCACGCTAAACAACCCACTCACGAAGATGGTGAGGGGTGGGTGAGTCCGGGAGGCGTGGCAGCTGCTGTCCACTCCCATAGCCTCCGCCGTCACGAGTTGAACCCCCATAGCCTCCACCCTTGCCAGCTCCACCCCGACCGCCTCCACCACCCCCAACACCTCCACCACCCCCGACACCTCCACTAACTCCACCTCCGCTGCCACCCCCACCGCCTCCACTCCGCGTGAGCTCAGTGGGGTCAAGGGCAAGGAAGTGGTCCCTAACGGTGTGGAGGGAGTCAGGGAGGCGTGTGACGAAGAAGTACAGGGTGATGTAAAGCAGGGGGGTTTGCAGCGAGGTAGGTCGTCTTGAGAGCGGTGCGGTAGCGAGTCTCGCTAGAGCGAAGGTGGGTCATAAGATCAGCAACAATGTGGAAATCTGCAAGCTCAGGAAAGAGGTATGGCAGCATGAGATGGCCTAGGGCAGCAGTAGCTGGGGAGGAGTAACGAGCGACAACGACGTCATAGAGGTCTTTGGCTGTCTTCTGCTGGCCAAAATTTGCCCTCTCAGCTAGCGGGAGGTGGTTGCAGAAAGCAAGGCGGGCAACAGCGTCACGTGTGAGCCACTGCGAACGATATAAGCGGCTGGCTGGATCAGCTGGGGCAAGAAGGGATCCGAACGTATGTTCTATCAGTGAGACTCCATCCCTAGCTTCGCTCTGCAAGTACGGCTGGAGATCGTCTAGCCAAACGTCAAAGTTAATCGGGCGACCCTCCGCATCAAAGGTAAGGACAAAATGGTGGCCATAGTAGCAGTAGCAGCCGCAGCAGCAGCAGGAGCAGCAGTAGGATGGGCGGCACAGCAAGGAAGTGCGGCTCGGTTCAGGCAGGGCAGCGCGGCTCGGGCAGGGCGGCGTGGCTCCGGCTGGGCGGCACGGCTCGGCGGGGCGACGCGGCTCGGCAGGGCAATGCGGCTCGCGCTGGGCAGCAAGGTGTGAAAGTTAGAACGAGAGAATGATTGAACTATGAAAGAGTTGGGTACAAGTACTAACCCTAATTGGGTTGTACCCCTTATGGGCTACCCCACTACAGCCTACACAAATGTATAAGCTATAATGTTCTAACACACCCCCATAGGAAAAGTGGGGGAGAACAAGTGGTCACAAGACCACTCAAGCAAAGCAAAGCAAAGCTCAGGGTGGATCACAAAGTCACCACACAGTTCGAGCACAAGAGTAAGGCCACAAGGCCAGTTCACATGCAAGGTCAAATATATAAAGGTAAACAAGCAAGTGCAGGTATAGAAAGAGTACAGCACAAACAAGATCAACAAGTGAGCAAGTGAGGCCAGGTAGGCACAAGACCTAGCAAAGTACAGAAGCGCTGATGATCACAAGGCGGAAGGGCCTTGGTGAAGATATCAGCAGTGTTGGCCTCAGAGGCCACGTAGGTGAGGCGGAGCTGACCACGCTGCTGCAGCTCACGAGCCAAGAAGTAGCGGAGAGCAATGTGCTTCATTCTGTGCTCCAGTCTGTGCTCCCGACACAAGGCCAGCATGGCCTTGTTGTTTACGTACAGCACTGGAGGAGAACGAGGCGGCTCTCCTAGGTCAGTCAGCACGTAGGTGAGCCAGCGTAGCTCCTGTGCAGCCATGGCCCCTGCGTAGATCTCAGCCTCACAGCTGGAGCTGAGAATAGAAGACGAGCAGGTAGACAGCCATGAAACAGAGCCGGAGCCAAGGCTGAAGGTGTAACCTTGTGACGACCACTGCAGAGCCTGGTCGTCAGCCCAAGAAGCGTCAGCGTGACCTGTGAGGACCACTCGACGTCGCCCTCCAAGCACTAGCCCCATCTCCGACGTACTGCACACGTAACGCAACACCCTCTTCGCCGCAGCCATGTGATCTGGTCGGTGTCTCCCAGGAGCAACATAGCGTGCCAAGATGCTAAGAGGGTATGCAAGGTCAGGTCGTGTGCAAGTCATCAGGTACATGAGGCAGCCAACAAGCTATGGGTACGGGCCACTCGGCTCTACGGACTCATCCGAAGGCAGAGCTGAGAGCGAGTGGCGAGTAGACAGAGGAGTGGCCTGAGGCGAGGAGTACGTGAAGCCGAAGTGCTGAAGGACCTGCTGCACCATGTGTGACTGAGTCACGGTAATGGTGCGCTGTGCTCCGTCTCGGGTGATCTGCAACCCAAGCTAGCTACGCAGTTCACCCAGGTCTGTGCACGTGTGTCTCTTCTGCAGCTCGGACTTCACGTGGGCGAGTCCAGCAGTGTAAGCAGTGGCAAAGACCAAGTCGTTGACGTAGACGAGGATGTAGAACGGCGGCAAAGAGGTGCCGGTGCGCAGAAACAGCGACGGGTCGGTTGTAGAAGGAGCAAACCAAAGAGCCGCAAGTGTAGTCCACAGTGTGTCGTGCCACTCACGGGGCGCCTGGTGGAGACCGTAGACTGGCCGCCGGAGGATCCACTGGGTACCAGGGGGAAACGACCCAATGAAGCCAGGTGGACGGCGCAGCCAGATCTCCTCGTGCAGGCTGCCCTGCAGGAAAGCCGTGCTGAAGTCAAGAGAGTGAAGCTCGTAGTCGTGCTGAGCGGCTATGTGCAGCAGCACCCGAAGAGTGGTCATCTTCGGGGTGTAAGAGAAGGTCTGAAAGTAGTCAACTCCTTGCCGCTGTATGAAGCCTCGAGCCACGTAACGCGCCTTGAAGACAGGCGGAGAACCCGGCGGCCGCTTCACCCTAAAAATCCACATTCCCTTCCACCGACGATGTTCGCCCCAGGTGGGGGAACCTCGTCGACGTAGGTGCCTGTGGACTTCCAGGAAGCCATCTCTGCGTCCATGGCCGACTGCCACTGAGAGCAGTAGGGACCCTCGATCGCCTCAGCGTACGATCGAAGAGTCGAGATGTCTGGTGCATCTGGGTCTCCCTCAGGGGCAATCAGCGTGGACACGAGATGGGGCAAAGCAGCAGCAAAGCACTGGAACTCCTCCTGCTTGTCCTCAAGGACGTCCGTGCTAAGAGCACACTCACCCCCGACGGACGGAGAACGGACAGACTTAGACTCAGCAAGGAGACTAGCAGCGTAGTTTAGACGACAGCGAGCAGCGAAGTCGACAAGCTTAGCAACTAGGGCAGACGCAGCAGTGGACTCAAAGGAAGGGTCAGTGACAACAGTAGCAAGAAGGCGCGTGACCGAAGGACTAGCAGCACGAAGGGAGTCAGACTCCGGGTAAGCAAGAGAAGGAAGGGAGGACTCTGGAGGAGACGGCAACGGGACACGCAGAGGAGCAGTGGAAGGACGCAGTGCCATCTGGTGTGTGCCGGGGACCGCAGGAGGACGTGGACGCGCAGCACTACGACTAGTGCGAGCAACACGAACAGGCGACGCAGGACGAGACGTAGGCTCACGACGCTCAGCAAGACCTCCAGTAGGACCACCGTAGGGAGAAGGAGCAGGTAGAGGGGAGGCGGTCCGTAACCGTGATTGCGACTGGACAGGCGGTGGACACTCTAAGGAAGGAGCAAGACCAGGAGAGGGCGGGAGACCAAGAACCTACTCCAGAAGCGGAACGAAGTACGGCCTTGGCCGCGCAGCGCCTCTAGAACCAGCAAGGATAGCACCAGTACCCCCAGCGGCAGCACCAGCGCCAGCAGCACCTCCAGCTCCACCAGCGCCAACTCCAGCACCCTCAGAAGCACCAGCACCAGCAGCACCGCCAGCGCCAACACCCCCAGCAGCTCCAGCTCCAGCAGCACCAACTCGAGAAGCACCAGCGCCAGTAGAAACACCAGCGCCAACACCCCCAGCAGCTCGAGGTCCAGTAGAAACACCAGCGCCAACACCCCCAGCAGCTCCAGCTCCAGCAGCACAAGTACCACCAGCAGCTCCTGCAGGACTAGCTCCTGTAGCCCCAGTATCACCCCCATTCTCAGCAGCACGTCTCCAGCAGCGGGCAAACCACTCGTGCAGCTCCTGTGGAGAGAGTGGCTCCCGCCTCGACGAAGCACCGCCGGCGGCCACACGAGCAGACCCAGCGCCCCCAGGTTCGGCACCCCCAGGCTCCGCACCCCCATACTCACCACCCCCAGGCCCAGCACCCCCAGTCTCAGCACCCCCAGACTCCGCACCCCCAGGCTCAGCACCCCCAGTCTCAGCACCCCCAGACCCGGCACCCGCAGGCTCAGCACCTCTAGCAGCACCAGAGTCAACAACCACCTCGACAGGCTCGATTGCGTCTACCTAGGACACACCAGACAGGGCAGGACCCTAGGGGGGAGGGGGTCTACCGGGGGAGGACCTGGTGCAAGGAAGAGCGGCGGCGGGGGGAGAGGTGCAATGCGGAAGGGGAAGAGACGGTAGTAAGGTACCGACTCATCAAAGGTGACGTCCTGGGAGGACAAAATACGGCGCGAGGTGGGGTGGTAAAACTGCCACCCAGGCGCGTCTTGGGGGGAAGCCGAGGAAGACGCAGGGAACAGCACGGGGGGACAGCTTGTCCGCAGACAAGTAACGGATAAACGCCCGAGATCCCCAGACCCGAAACGTAGACGCATCGCCAACCTTCCCCGTCCACCGCAAGGCGGGGGAGGTCTCTGGCAAGGAGACCCGGGGCTAAAGGTTGAGCTGATGCGCGGCGTACTGAACCGCAAACGGCCACAGAAAATGGGTCCAGCTGCATGCATCATGGACGTACGAGCGACGTCCATGACCATGCCAATGCGGCGCTCAACAATCCCATTTTGCTGTGGAGAGGCCGGAAGCGTGAAGGTCTGGCGGATGCCCTGTGCACGACAGAAGGCTCCCAGACGGGCAGAGGAAAACTCCCCGCCTCTGTCCGAGTGCAGACGCAGAACAGGAAAGTCCGAGCCGAAACTCTCTCTGAGATGGAGACGAGCTGCGCGGATCAAGTCGATCAACACCTCAGTGACATCACTCTTGCTGCGCAAGGGGAAGCCTGTGGTGTAACGCGAGTAGTCGTCAACCACCAGCAGGAAGAACCGCTCTCGCCCCTGTCCACTGACGCGGGCTGGGCCCCACACGTCCATGTGGAGAGTCTGCAGCGGAGCCTTTGTCGGAGGAAACTCGGAGGAGTGAGGGGCGGCGCGCTTTCGCCCCTCGATGCAAGGGACGCATGTAGGGCCAGGCCCCGGAGGTAGGGGAGGGAGAGACCGAGGGAGACGAGAGACAAGGACACGGGAGGCCATGCCTCGGAGACGAGGCAAGGAGGGGTGACCAAGGCGGTGGTGCCAAAGGAGAGTCTGGTGGGACAGCAGACGACACGAGCAGAGAGCAGACTCAGGACCAGACCTGGACGCAGCAGCAAACACTTGGGTAGACTCAGCTGCCGGAGGAGACTCAGTAGTAAGGGTGTACAGGCTCAACCCTGGCCGACGGGTGAACGTGGCCAAGTGTCGGCGTGTCCGAGCACACGTGTAGTGGGTCACTCGCTGACTCGCAGGAGTGAACTGGTCAACCCCCCTATCCTGTAGGTTCGCTCCACTAACTAAGTTTGTAGAGAACGAGGGGAGGTAGAGACCTGACAGGGTGCCAGAGGGGGCTGTCGGGCACGGTAAGACAGTGGAGAAGCTAGCAAGGACAGGAACCCCAGAGGGGTCTGCCAGGGAGAGTGCAACCGGCCGACTGAGCGGCGTAAGAGTGGTGCGGTCTCAAAAGAAGGAGCAAGACGCATCCGAGTAAAGGGTGAAGGTGTGGAAGGCCTAAGCCGACGTAGTACCTGAGAGAGCAGACTCACCAGCACCTGGGGCAACAGACGCAATTGCACCTGGGGCAGCAGGCGCACTGGCACCTGGGGCAGCAGACGCACTGGCACCTGGGGCAGCAGACGCACTAGCACCTACAGCAGCAGCCTCAATGCCCAGGTTTGGCGGTACACACAAGAAACAGTCACCCACAACACTAGTATCGACAGCATACATGGCAGCAAGAATAGCATCAAAATCAAGATCAAAGATAGCAACCCTCGCCCTAGACAGATCTCCCCAGCGAGGGATCTTTGACGCCTCAAGGAACTGGCGACGCCACGCGTTCGTCAGGCAACCGAAGCAGCGCTGGGTGGAGTGCGGGCCTCCGCACTGCTCACCAGCTCGGTCGCCGGTACGGAGGACGTAAGTGCAGGGACCAAAACCCCCACCGCGCTGACGCGCAGTGTACCACTCACGAAGCTGCTGAGGGGACAGGTTCACACCACTCCGATGCTGCTGGCGTGGACCACCACCTGAGCCACTCCTCACCGCAGAGTCGCGGTCTGCTCCACCACCGCCGTCGCTGCCGCTGCCTCCGTCGCCTCCTCCACCTCCGCCTCCTCCGCCACCTCCGCCGCCTCCACTCCCTCCGCCACCTCCGCCGCCTCCGCCGTCTCCACTGCTGCCGCCGCCGCCGCCACCCCTGGCACCACTCCCACCACCACCCCCACTCCCTCCACTGCCTCCACCAACACCTCCACCGCCCCCTCCAACCCCTCCAGCGCCCTTGCCCCCCTTACCCTTGCCGGGGCGGCGTCTCCCGCTCGGGGCAGACGCAGCGCCGACCGACTCAAAACCAACGAGGTCGGCCGCAGCAGCAGAGGCAACAGAGGGCAACAGGGGGGAGGGAGAACACCCCTCAAAGACGGGGGTGCGAGGGTCACCACGAGAGGCTCCTACAGCGACTATGCTCTTCTCTATCGCTAGGAGGGCCTTCTCGAGGAGGTCAACGGTGAGAGTGGTGGGGCAAAGTGAGAGGAAGTGGTCCCTGACTACGCGGAGAGAGTCAGGGAGCTGAGTGACTATGTAGTAGAGGGTGATGTATATGGGGGGGGGGGGTTCTTGGCGCCGAACTCAGCAGGAAGCGCAGCACGGTAGCGAGTGTCACTAGTACGGAGGTGCGTAATGAGGTCAGCAACTGTAGGAAAGGCAGCAAGGTCAGGGAAGAGGTACGGTAGCATGAGGCGGCTCAGTGCAGTAGTGGCAGGGGAAGAGTAGCGTGCAACTACAGCGTTGTACAAGGTCTGAGCACTCTTGTACTGGCTAAAGTGCGCACGCTCAGTGGTCGGTAAGTGGCGGCGCACAGCAAGGCGAGCAGCGGCATCACGCGTGGCCCACTGTGAGCGAACAATGGCGTCAGCATCAGCAGCAAGGGCAGGAGAGGCACTAGAAGTGAGGTCAAACAGGGAGAGACCGTCTGCCCTATCGCATTGTAGGAAAATCTGCAGATCATCTACCCAGACCTCAAAGTCAACTGCCCGACCCTCAGCGTCAAAGGTGAGAACACTAGGGGAGGCCATGACAGCGGTAGACAGCAGTAGACAGACAGTGGGGCAAGGTAGTGCAGTGGCAGAGGCGCTGCTCTTACCAGGCAAGTGGGGTGGTCCCGGGCACGCCGACAAGCGGCAGCGCCTCGGCTGTGGTGCGGCTCGGCGGCTCGGCTGCTGGGCGGCTCGGCGGTCGGGCGGCTCGCCTGCAGGGCGGCTCGGCTGCTCTGTGGCTCGGCTGCTCAGCGGCTCGGTTGCTTGGCGGCTCGGCGACGGGGCCGTGGAAGAGCGGCGACGGGGCCGTGGAAGGGCGGCGACGGGGCTGCTGAAGGGGCGGAGATGGGCCGCTGAAAGGGCGGCGACGGGCCGCTGAAAGGGGCGGCGACTGGGCCGCGGAAGGGCAGCGATGGGGCCGCTGAAGGGCAGCGATGGGGCCACGGAAGGGCGGCGACGGGGCCGCTGAAAGGGTGGGCGGCGACAGGGCCACTGAGAGGGCAGCGGTGGGGCCGCTGAAAGGGCGGCGACGGGCCGTGGAAGGGTGGCGACGGGGCCGCTGAAAGGGGCGGGCGGCGACGGGGCCGCTGAGAGGGCGGCGACGGGGCCGCAGAAGGGCGGCGCCGGGGAGGCCGCGGAAGGGCGGCTACGGGGCCGCGGAAGGGCGGCATCGAGGCCGCGGAATGTCAAGTTATAATATTGTGTAGGCTATAGTGGGGTAGCCGATATGGGGTACACATTTCTAGGGTTGCATATTTGTATCACTTCCATTCCTTAGTCATCCCATTCTCGTTCTACTTTCCTCATGGTATCGAGCAGGTTCCCCCGTGGAAATTGTGCCTAGGGCCCACCACATCTAGAATTTTTTTCCTGCCCGAAGCGCGCTCCTCCTGAGTCGCGCCCCGGGCTCTCACCTTGTCGAGCCGCCCTAGCGGCCTCCTACGCCCTAGCGGCCCTTCCTCCCTTAGCGGCCCCGCCGCCCGTTCGTGCGGCCCCGCCACCCGTTAGCGTGGCCCCGCCGCCTGCATTCGCGGCCCCGCCGCCCTACTTCGCGGCCCCGCCGCCCTACTCCTGCGGCCCCGCCGCCCTACGTCGCGGCCCCGCCGCCCTACTCAGCGGCCCCGCCGCCCTACTCAGCGGCCCCGCCGCCCTACTCCTGCGGCCCCACCGCCCTACTTCGCGGCCCCGCCGCCCTACTCAGCGGCCCCGCTGCCCTGCTCCTGCGGCCTCGCCGCCCTACTTCGCAGCCCCGCCGCCCTACTCCTGCGGCCCCGCCGCCCTACGTCGCGGCCCCGCCGCCCTACGTCGCGGCCCCGCCGCCCTACGTCGCGGCCCCGCCGCCTTACTCAGCGGCCCCGCCGCCCTGCTCCTGCGGCCCCGCCGCCCTACGTCGAGTCCCCGCCGCCCTGCTCCTGCGGCCCTGCCGCCCTACTTCGCGGCCCCGCCGCCCTACTCCTGCGGCCCCGCCGCCCTTCTTCGCGGCCCCGCCGTCCTACTCCTGCGGACCCGCCACCCTACTTCGCGGCCCTGCTGCCCTACTCAGCGGCCCCGCCGCCCTGCTCCTGCGGCCCCGCCGCCCTACTCCAGCGGCCGCGCCGCCCGTCTGCTGCGGCCCCGCCGCACTACTCCTGCAGCGGCGCCCGAGCCACTGACCGCCGCGCCGCCCTGCAGCAGCACGCCCGAGCCGCCGCCCGCCACGCCGCCCTACAGCAGCACAACTGAGCCGCCTAGCAGCAGAGGAGCCAAGCCGCCCTGCCGCCGAGCCACACTGCAGCCGAGCCACCCGGCCGCCCACCAGCTGAGCCGCCGTGTAGCCGAGCCGCATAGCAGCCGAGCCGCCGAGCCGCACAGCAGCCGAGCCGCCGAGCCACCCTACTGCCGAGCTGCCCGAGTAGCCCTGTCCGGTGAGCACGGCCCCTCTGTCACTGCACTGCCCTTCCCCTACTGCTTGCACTGCTAGACTACTCATGTCATGGCTACCCCTAGTGTCCTCGCTTTTGACGCTGAGGGTCGAGCCATTGACTTTGAGGTCTGGGTCGACGACCTGCAACTGTTCTTACAATGCGATAGGGCGGACGGCCTTTCTCTCTTTGATCTCACCTCTGGCGCCTCTCCTGCCCCTGCTGCTGATGGTGACCCCACTGTTCGCTCCCAGTGGGCCACGCGCGATTCTGCTGCACGTCTTGCTGTGCGTCGCCACCTGCCTACCACTGAGCGCGCGCACTTTAGTCAGTACAAGAGTGCTCAGACCTTGTACGACACTGTAGATGCGTGCTACTCTTCCCCTGCCACTGCTGTACTGAGCCGCCTCATGCTACCGTACCTCTTCCTTGACCTTACTGCCTTTCCCACAGTCGCTGACCTCATTACGCAACTCCGCACTAGTGACACTCGCTACCGCGCCGCGCTTCCTGCTGAGTTCGGCGCCAAGAACCCCCCCCCCCATATACATCACCCTCTACTACATAGTCACTCGGCTCCCTGACTCTCTCCGCGTAGTCAGGGACCACTTCCTCTCACTTTGCCCCACCACTCTCACCGTTGACCTCCTCGAGAAGGCCCTCCTAGCGATAGAGAAGAGCATAGTCGCTGTAGGAGCCTCTCGTGGTGACCCTCGCACCCCCGTCTTTGAGGGGTGTTCTCCCTCCCCCCTGTTGCCCTCTGTTACCTCTGCTGCTGCCGCCGACCTGCTTGGTCTTGAGTCAGTCGGTGCGGCGTCTGCCCCTAGCGGGAGACGCTGCTCTGGCAAGGGCAAAGGGGGCAAGGGCGTGGGTGGAGCTGGCGGGGGTGGTGGAGGTGGCGGTGGAGGCGGAGGAGGGAGTGGGGGTGGCGATGGGAGTGGTGGCGGGGGTGGTGGTGGTGGTGGCGGCAGCGGAGGCGGAGGCGGTGGTGGCAATAGCGGTGGGAGCGGAGGCGGCAGTGGTGGCGGAGTTGGAGGCGGCGGTGGCGGAGGAGGTGGAGCTGGTCGGGGTGGTGCCTCGCGGCGGAGCGGCTCTGGTGGTGGTCAGTGCCAGCAGCAGCAGCAGCAATCTCGGGACATCCCCCCTCCTCAGCAGCTCCGTGAGTGGTACACGCAGCGTCAGCGTGGTGGGGATTTTGGTCCGTGCACCTACGTCCTTCGCTCCGGCGAGCGCGTGGGTGAGCAGTGTGGGGGTGTCCACCCCACCCAGCGCTGCTTTGGCCGCCTGACGGACGCTTAGCGTCAGCAGTTCCCCGAGGCTAGTGAGATCCCCCGCTGGGGAGAGCTCTCTAGGGCGGGTGTAGCTATCTATGATCTTGATTTTGATGCTATCCTTGCTGCCATCTATGCTGTTACTATTAGTGATGAGGGTGACAGTTACTGGTGTTTCCCGCCCGACTCGAGCATTTGTACTGCTGCGCTAGGTGCTCGTGAGGCTGCTGCTCTAGGTGCCAGCGCGTCTGCGCCCTCAGGTACTGGTGAGGCTGCGCTCTCAGGTACCGCGTCGGCTTCGGCCTCCCTCACTTTCACACTTGACTCGGGGGCTTCTTGCTCCTTCTTTCAAGACCGCACCACACTCACGCCGCTTGGTCGGCCGGTTGCAGTCTCCCTGGCTGACCCCTCTGGGGGTTCTGTCCTCTCTCACTTCTCCACTGTCCTCCCGTGTCCGGCTGCCCCCTCGGGCACCTTGTCTGGTCTTAACCTCCCCTCGTTCTCGACGAACTTGGTGAGTGGTGCTGACCTGCAGGATGCGGGGGTTCACCTGTTTACTCCTGCGAGTCAGCGAATGACCCACTGCTCAGACGCCCGCACAGGCCGACACCTGGCCACGTTTTTGCGTCGGCCGGGGTTGAGTCTCTACACCCTGACCACTGAGTCTCCTCCTGTCCCTGCGTCTGGCCAGGTAGCTGCGTCGGGCCAGGTGTTTGCTGCTGCGTCCAGGTCTGGTCCTGAGTCTGCCCTCTCCTCGTGTCGCCTCTTGTCTCACAAGACTCTCCTGTGGCACCACCGTCTTGGCCACCCCTCCCTACCTCGTCTTCGGGGCATGGCTTCCCGTATCCTTGTCTCTGGTCTTCCCTAGTCCCTCCTTCCCCTTCCTTTGGGACCTGGTCCTTCTTGTGTCCCCTGCGTCAAGGGGCGGCTCCGGGCTGCCCCTCACTCCTCTCAGTTTCCCTTGACAGAGGCTCCGCTGCAGACGCTTCACATGGACGTGTGGGGCCCGGCCCGCGTCCGTGGACAGGGTCACAAGCGCTACTTCCTGCTGGTGGTTGACGACTACTCGCGTTACACCACGGTCTTCCCCTTGCGCAGCAAGGGTGATGTCACTGAGGTGTTGATCGACTGGATCCGCGCAGCTCGTCTCCAGCTTAGGAGGAGCTTCGGCTCGGACTTTCCTGTTCTGCGTCTGCACTCTGACCGAGGCGGAGAGTTCTCCTCTGGCCTTCTGCGAGCCTACTGTCGTGCGCGAGGCATCCGCCAGACCTTTACGCTTCCGGACTCTCCACAGCAAAATGGGATTGCTGAGCGCCGCATTGGCATGGTCATGGAAGTCGCTCGTACGTCCATGATGCATGTGGCTGCCCCCCATTTTCTGTGGCCGTTTGCGGTTCGGTACGCGGCGCATCAGATCAACCTTCAGCCCAGGGTCTCCTGGCCGGAGACCTCCCCAGCTCTGCTGTGGACGGGGAAGGTCGGCGATGCGTCTGCGTTCCGTGTCTGGGGATCTCGGGCGTTTGTCCGCGACTTGTCTGCGGACAAGCTGTCCCCTCATGCTGCTCCCTGTGTCTTCCTTGGCTTCCCCCCTGACGCACCAGGGTGGCAATTCTACCACCCCTCCTCTCGTCGTGTTCTGTCCTCCCAGGACGTCACGTTCGACGAATCAGTCCCCTTCTACCACCTCTTTCCCTACCGCACTCCTTCCCTCCCCCCGCCACCGCACTTCCTTGTGCCAGGTCCCCCCCCGGTAGACCCCCTTCCCCCTCAGGGTCCTGCCCCTTCAGGTGTGTCCCAGGTAGACGCAGTCGAGCCGGTCGAGGTTGCTGGTGACTATGGTACTGCTGCTGGTGCTGACTTTGGGGGTGCTGCGCGCGTGGGTGCTGAGCCTGGGGCTGCTGAGTTTGGGGGTGCTGCAACTGGGGGTGCTGAGCCTGGACTGCTGAGTCTGGGGGTACTGCGACTAGGGGTGCTGAGCCTGGGGGTGCTGAGCCTGGGGGTACTACGACTGGGGGTGCTGAGCCAGGTGGTACTGCGTTTGAAGGTGCTGAGCCTGGGGGTGCTACGTCAGGAGGTGCTGAGCCTTGGGGTGCTGCGTCTGGAGCTACTGAGCCTGGAGGTGCGGAGCCTGCGGCTGCTAGGCCTCCCTTTGTGGAGTCTGGCGGTGCTGGGCTTGGAGGTTCTCCGGGTGCTTCGGCTCGGCGGGAGCCACTCTCTCTACAGGAGCTGCTCGAGTAGTTTGCCCAGCGCTGGAGGCGTTCAGCTGGAGCTGGAGCTGCTGAGGGTGTTGGCGCTGAGACTACTGCTGTTAGTCCTGGCGGTGGTCTTGCTGCGGGTGCTGCTGGTGCTGCTCGAGGTACTGCAGCCGGAGGTGCTGTTGGCGCTGGTGCTGCCGCTGAGGAAACTTGTGCTGTCCCTGCTGTTTCTGGAGTTGCTGCCCGGCCTTGGCCGTACTTTGTTCCGCTCCTTCAGCAGGTTCTTGGTACTTCTCCTCCTGTAGAGTGTCCACCGCCTCTCCAGTCTCTGTCACAGTTACCGCCCGCCTCCCCACTGCCTGCTCCCTCTCCTTACACTGGTCCTACTGGAGGTCTTGCTGAGCGTCGTGAGCCTGTGTCTCGTCCCGCGTCGCCTGTTAGTGCTGCTCGCGCCAGTGGTCGCGGTTCATGTCAACGTCCTCCTCTTGTCCCTGGCACACACCGGATGTCTCTGCGTCCGTCCACTGCTCCTCTACGTGCCCCTTTGTCTTCTCCTCCTGAGTCCTCTCTTCCTGCGCTTGCCGGCCCGGAGTCGGACTCTTTTCGTGCTACCAGTCCTACTGTCACGCGTCTCCTTGCTACCAACGTCACTGACCCCTCTTTTGAGTCCACTGCTGCGTCTGCTCTTATTGCTGAGCTCGTCGACTTTGCTGCTCGCTGTCGTCTAGACTACGCTGCTAGTCTCGTTGCTAAGTCTGCGTCTGTCTGTCCTCCATCCGTTGGGGGTGAGTGTGCTCTTGGCACAGACGTCCTTGAGGACAAGCAGGAGGAGTTCCAGTGTTTCGCTGCTGCTTCACCTCATCTCGCATCCGTACTGCTTGCCCCTGAGGGAGACCCGGATGCACTAGACATCCCGACTTCGCGCTCTTACGCGGAGGCCGTAGAGGGTCCCTACTCCACTCAGTGGCAGGCAGCTATGGATGTAGAGATGGCTTCCTGGAAGTCCACAGGCACCTACGTTGACTCGGTCCCTCCTCCTGGGGCGAACATCGTCAGTGGCATGTGGATCTTCAGGGTGAAGCGGCCGCCGGGCTCTCCACCTGTCTTCAAGGCGCGATACGTGGCTCGTGGCTTCAGTCAGCGGCAGGGAGTTGACTACTTTCAGACCTTCTCTCCCACCCCGAAGATGACCACTCTTCGGGTGCTGCTACACATAGCCGCTCAGCGCGACTACGAGCTTCACTCTCTTGACTTCAGCACTGCTTTCTTGCAGGGTAGCCTGCACGAGGAGATCTGGCTGCGCCGTCCACCTGGCTTCACTGGGACTTTCCCTCCTGGCACCCAGTGGAGCCTCCGATGGCCAGTCTACGGTCTCCGCCAGGCACCGCGTGAGTGGCACGACACACTGAGGACTACGCTTGCGGCCCTTAGGTTTGCTCCCTCTACTGCTGACCCGTCGTTGTTTCTATGCACCTACACCTCTCTGCCACCGTTCTACATCCTCGTGTACGTCGATGACTTGGTCTTTGCCACAGCTGACACTGCTGGACTCGCCCACGTGAAGTCCGAACTGCTGAAGAGACACAAGTGCACAGACCTAGGTGAACTGCGTAGCTACCTTGGCTTGCAGATCACCCGGGACAGAGCACGCCGCACCATTACCTTGACTCAGTCACACATGGTGCAGCATGTCCTTCAGCGCTTCGGCTTCACGTACTCCTCGCCTCAGGCCACTCCTCTGTCTACTCGCCACTCGCTCTCAGCTCTGCCTTCGGATGAGTCCGTAGAGTCGAGTGGCCCATATCTAGAGCTTGTTGGCTGCCTCATGTACCTGATGACCTGCACACGACCTGACCTTGCATACCCTCTTAGCATTCTTGCACGTTATGTTGCTCTTGGGAGACACAGACCAGAGCACATGGCTGGAGCGAAGAGAGTGTTGCGCTACTTGTGCAGTACGTCGGGCATGGGGCTCGTGCTTGGAGGGCGGAGTTCAGTGGTCCTCACTGGGCACGCGGACACTTCTTGGGCTGACGACCAGGCTACTCAGCAGTCGTCGCAAGGTTACACCTTCAGTCTTGGTTCCGGCTCTGTTTCGTGGCGGGCTACTCGCTCGTCTTCTGTTCTCAGCTCCAGTTGTGAGGTTGGGATCTACGCCGGGGCCATGGCTGCACAGGAGCTTCGCTGGCTCACCTACCTGCTGACTGACCTTGGAGAGCCGCCTCGTTCTCCTCCAGTGCTGTACGTAGACAACAAGGCCATGCTGGCCTTGTGTTGAGAGCAGCGCTTGGAGCACAGAACGAAGCACATTGCTCTCCGCTACTTCCTTGCTCGCGAGCTGCAGCAGCGTGGTGAGTTGCGACTTGCGTACGTGGCCTCTGAGGACAACACTGCTGATGTTTTCACCAAGGCACTTCCGCCTTGTGATCATCAGCGCTTCTGCATGCAGCTGGGACTTGTACCTGTCTTGCGTCACCTGCTCACCTCTTGACCTTGCTTGTACTCTTATATATATATACCTGCTCTTGCTTGTTTAGCCTTATATATCTATGTGTACTCCTGCATGTGAACTGGCCTTCTGGCCTTGACCTTGTGCTCGGACTGTGTGGTGACGTTGTGATCCACCTTGAGCTTTGCTTTGCTTTGCTTGACTGGTCTTGTGACCCCTTGTTCTCCCCCACTTTGCCTATGGGGGTGTGTCAAGGTATAATATTGTGTAGGCTATAGTGGGGTAGCCTATATGGGGTACACATTTCTAGGGTTGCATAATTGTATCACTTTCATTCCTTAGTCATCCCATTCTCGTTCTACTTTCCTCACGGAAGGGCGACGACGGGGCCGCCTAAGGATGGCGACAGGGCCGCAGTAAGGGGCGGTGACGGGGCCGCTTAAAGGGCGGCGCAACGGGGTCGCAAGGGCGGCGCAAAAGGGCCGCAAGGGAGGCGCGACGAGGCCGTGAGGGGCCATAAGAGGGGCCGCTAGAGGCCGCGAGGGGGGAACAACACGAGGCGCGACTCGGGCAGCTGCGAAGCGCGCTCCAGGCAGGAAAAAAATAGATTGGTGGGCCCTAGGAACAGTTCCCACGAGGGAACCAGCTCTATACCATGTGAAAGTTAGAACGAGAGAATGATTGAACTATGAAAGAGTTGGGTACAAGTTCTAACCCTAATTGGGTTGTACCCCTTATGGGCTACCCCACTACAGCCTACACAAATGTATAAGCTATAATGTTCTGACACACGGCTCGGCAGGGCACAGCGCAACAGCGTGTGTGGTAGCATCAGCGCGTTTGGCAGCAGCTGCGCAGCAGCAGCAGCGCGTGAAGGTAGGGGCACTCGCAGGCAAACAGCGCGCGTGCACGCAGGTGGCTCGCGCGGGTAGAGGTGCAAGCGCGCTGGCGAGAGGGGCTTCCGTAGGTAGGGCGCGGGCAGGCAGCGTTCGCAGGCAGGCCGCCCTCGCAGGTAGGCGGCGCTCGCAGGCAGGCAGCGCGAGCGCGGGAAGGCAGCTCGCGGGCAGGCAACGCTCGCGGGCAGGTAGCGCTCGCAGGTGGACAGTGCGCGCGCGGGCAGCCAGTGAGCGTGCGGGCAGATCTCGCGTGTGCAGCAGGCAGCGCGCTAGGGCTGGCAGCGCGCATGGCAGCAGGGTAGCACGACACGTTTTGGGAAGGACAGGGTAGCGCAAGGGCGCTTCGAGCAGGGTCGAGCGGAACGATCGGTTGGCCCTAAAAAATATTTACATAACCATTTATTTGATCTGAAACCATGTTAAAGGTATATGTGCAGGAATGCGTGAACTAGTAAGAAGGGGGATACAAGTATGAAACCCTAGGTTTGTATCCCCTCTAAGGCTAGCCCCAAAATAGCCGACAGAACATAAACATACAACGTTTGACATTTGCGCTTGGGTGGTTGCATCTTGCGTGACTCGTAGGCGATTTGTTGCAGCCTGTTGCCGAAGTCCTGTAGAAGGGCGGCGCTGATGGTGAAATCGTTGGTGTCCGTTATGCCTTCCAACGGTCGAGATGGATCTGCTAGCCGAAGTACCGTGGGCGAGCTCAAAATCCTTTTGAGCTCGTCGAAGGCCAGCTGCTCTTTCTCCCCCCACAAAAATAGCGCGCCTTTGTGCAGAAGATCGGTTAATGGCTTGGTCACCCCTGCTTTATTCGATACGAAGTGGTAGGCGTAGTTCACAAACCCGAGAGAACTCTGCAGCTCGGTGATGTTCGTAGGCGGCTTCCACTGTGAAATTGCTGTCACTTTGCGAGGGTCGATTTTAATACCCTCCCCTGAAACCACGTGCCCTAGGAACTCCAGCTCCGGCTGTAAGAGCTCGCAATTAGAGCCCTTAGTAATCAGGCGGTTATGCTGCAAGCGCCGGAACACCTCCTCCAAATCCCGTGAATGATCTTTCCGAGTCTTGCTATACACCAGGATGTCGTCCAGGTAAACGATGACTTTATAATCAAGCATGTCTCACAACACTCCGTTCGTGATCATCTGGAACGTTGATGGTGCGTTTGTCAACCCGAACAGCATCACTGTATTCTCGTAACTGCCGTAGTGGGTGCGAAATGCAGTTTTCGAGCAGTTGTCGGCGAACACACGAACACACATCACAAATGGATTTTCGAGAAATAGTGAGCCCTGCGAAGCTGATCCAACAGGTTGTCCGCTCGCGGAATCGGGAATCACGGCTTGATGTTGATCCAATTCAGCACTCGATAGTCGATACACATGCGCAGGCCTCCGTCCTTCTTCGGTGTAAACAATATCGGGGTGGTGAATGGTGATGTGCCCGGCCGGATGAATCCCTTCGAGAGCAGTTAATCCAATTGTTTCCGTAATTTGTCGAGCTCCTGTAGGCTGAGCCGCCACTGGGACCGAACAGTTGGTTGCGCGCCAGGCTCAGCTCGATCCTGTGGTCTTTTGGTCATTGAGGTGGTACCCCATCAGGTAGGTCATTCGCGAAAAAATCGGGATACCTCCAAATAATGCTCGCCATGTCTTCAGGTACAGCAGCGCAGAGCGTGTCAATGTTGGCGACTTTTTCGGACGCAACCACCTCGTGCATCTGTACGGCGTAGCCTTGTGCTCCCCTCTTGATCACCCTTGTTAGTGTTATTGCGTTGACACGTGTCGTCATCACCTCCGGCTCCATCCATTTCGGAAGTGTCACGCACCCCTTGTTGCCCGGCTCTGTGCATGCTCTCGTCGTGTAGTCGATCGTCAGATTGAATTGCCGTAGCCAATCTCGCCCCAGCAGCACATCGCAACCGTCCAGTGATGTTGCCATCATCTTCATCAAAAACCCGAAATCGTCGCCACACTTCATCCAAATTTGCCGCGCCTCATCCCGTATCGCCAGTGGTGTCCCATCGATCAGCCTTGTGACAATCTCCGGCAGACACTCGTCCAGCTTGACTCCGATTTTTTTTGTCGTTGATAGATTGATGAGGCTATGGCTAGCCCCTCTGTCAACGAATATTTATATTTTTAGCCGTTAACCCTCCCCACGAACAGCACAGGATTCACATGTTCATCCACCTTATTCGTCCGGTTGTGGTCGATAGCCCTCGGTGTGGATGTTGATTGCTGGGCGATGGGGTCTCGTATGTAGGTGGCTCGACTACTACTGACTCGTCTCTTTTCCCGACCCCTCTCCGTTGTTCCTGTTTCCCTGCTTCAGCTTTGGGCAATGTTTCCTCATGTGGCCCAATTGGTTGCAATTTTAAAGCACGGCCTGGAGGCTTGTCTAGGCGCATACACACCATTGAGTGTGGGTGGTTGAGGTGATCCAGGAAAATGAGTGCTCTCCCGATGTGAGGATCTGGTTCAGGAAAGATGATTCTATTGAATGATTCACCTGTCAGATTTATATGACATAGCTATTATAGGCTATAGTGGGGTAGCACATATGGGGTACAACTTTCTAGGGTTTGTATTTGTACCCAACTTTCACTTAGTCATTTCATTCTCATTTCAGTTTTCTCATGGTATCGAGTAGGTTCCCTCGTGGGAACTGTTCCTAGGGCCCACCAAGTCGATATTTTTTTTCCTGCCCGGAGCGCACTCAGCCCCTGCCCAAGTCGCGCTCCCCCTCTCCGATCCCGTCGCGTCGCCCAAGCGGCTACGTCGCGCTGCCCTCGCGGCCCCGATCCGTCGCCCTAGCGACCCCGGCGCCGCCCTTCGCGGCCCCGTCGCCTACCCCCGCGGCCCTTGCGCCGCCCTTTCCCAGCCCCGATCCGCCGCCCTGCGGCCCTACGGCCCCGTCGCCTACCTGTGGCCCTACGGCCCCGTCGCCTACATGCGGCCCCGGCCCCGTCGACTACCTGCGGCCCCGGCCCCGTCGCCTACCTGCGGCCCCGTCGCCTCACTACGGCCCCGGCCCCGTCGCCTACCTGCGGCCCCGGCCCCGTCGCCTACCTGCGGCCCCGTCGCCTCACTACGGCCCCGGCCCCGTCGCCTACCTGCGGCCCCGGCCTTGACACCTAAATGCGGCCCCGGCCCCGTCGCCTACCTACGGCCCCGACCCCGTCGCCTACCTACGGCCCTAGCCTCGTCGCCTACCCGTACCGCCCGAGCCACCGAGTCGCCCAAGCCGCCCGAGCCGCCGCGTCAACCGAGCCGCCCAAGTCGCCCGAGCCGCCCGAGCCGCTCGAGCCGCCAGGTCGCCGGGCCGCAGTTGCCGCCCGAGCCGCCCGAGCTGCCCAAGCCGCCGAGCCGCAGTTGCCGCCCCAGCCGCCCGAGCCGCCAAGTCGCCGACCCGCCCGAGCCGCCCGAGCCGCCGAGCCGCCCGAGCCGCCCCTGTCTGGTAAGAGCAGCGCCTCTAACACTGCACTGCCATTACCCCACTATTCGCGCTCCTACACTACTGCTGTCATGGCCACCCCTAGTGTCCTCGCTTTTGACGCTGAGGGTTGGGCCATTGACTTTGACGTATGGATAGATGACCTGCAGCTTTTCCTACAGTGCGATAGGGCGGACGGTCTTTCACTCTTTGACCTCACCTCTGGTGCCTCTTCTCCCCCTGCTGCTGATGCTGACGCCACTATTCACTCACAGTGGGCCACACGCGATGCTGCTGCACGTCTTGCTCTGCATCGCCACCTGCCTACCTCTGAGCGTGCGCACTTTAGTCAGTACAAGAGTGCTCAGACCTTGTACGACGCTGTAGTTGCACGCTACTCCTCCCCTGCCACTACTGCACTGAGCCGCCTCATGCTACCGTACCTCTTCCCTGACCTTGCTGCCTTTCCCACAGTCGCTGATCTCATTACGCACCTCCGCACTAGTGACACTCGCTACCGCGCTGTGCTTCCTGCTGAGTTTTGCGCCAAGAACCCCCCCCCCATGTACATCACCCTCTACTACATAGTCACCCGGCTCCCTAACTCTCTTCGCGTAGTCAGGGACCACTTCCTCTCGGTTTGCCCCACCACTCTCACTATTGACCTCCTCGAGAAGGCCCTCCTTGCAACAGAGAAGAGCATAGTCGCTGTAGGAGCCTCTCGTGGTGACCCTCGCATCCCCATCTTTGAGGGGTGTTCTCCCTCCCCCCTTTTGCCCTCTGTCGCCTCTACTGTTGCGGCCGACCTCATTGGTCTTGAGTCGGTCGGTGCGGCGTCTACCCCTAGCGGGAGACGCCGCTCTGGCAAGGGCAAGGGGGGCAGGGGCGCTGGAGGAGCTAGCGGGGGCGGTGGAGGCGGCGGTGGAGGCTGCGGAGGGAGTGGGGGTGGCGGTGGGAGTGGTGGCGGGGGTGGAGGTGTTGGTGGCGGCAGTGGAGGCGGAGGCGGCGGCGGCGGCGCTGGCGGTGGAGGAGGCGGTGGCGGAGGAGGTGGAGCTGGTCAGGGTGGCGCTATGCAGCGGGGCGGCTCCGGTGGTGGTCCGCGCCAGCAGCAGCAGCAGCAGCTCCGTGAGTGGTACGTTGCGCGTCAGCGGGGTGGGGGTACTGGTCCGTGCACCTACATCCTACGCACCGGCGACCGCGCGGGTGAGCAGTGTGGGGGTGCGCACCCCACCCAGCGCTGCTTTGGCCGCCTGACGGACGCTTGGCGTCACCAGTTCCCGGAGGCCACTGAGATCCCCCGCTGGGGTGAGCTGTCTAGGGCGGGAGTAGCTATCTTTGACCTTGACTTCGATGCTATTCTTGCTGCCATGTATGCCGTGACTATTAGTGATGAGGGTGACTGTTACCGGTGTTTCCCGCCCGACTCGGGCATTGATACTACTGCTCTAGGTACGGGTGAGGCTGCTACTCTGGGTGCTAGCGAGGCTTCTGCTCCTACTGCCACTAAGTCTGCTTCCTCAGGTGCTGGTGAGTCTGCGCTCTCAGGTACCACGTCGGCTTCGGCCTCCCTCACTTTCACCCTTCACTCAGGGGCTTCTCGCTCCTTCTTTCGAGACCGCACCACACTCACGCCGCTTGGTCGGCCAGTTGCAGTCTCTCTGGCAGACCCCTCTGGGGGTCCTGTCCTTTCTCACTTCTCCACTGTCCTCCCGTGTCCGGCGGCCCCCTCTAGCGCCTTGTCTGGTCTTTACCTTCCCTCGTTCTCTACGAACTTGGTGAGTGGTGCTGACCTACAAGATGCGGGGGTTCACCAGTTCACTCCTGCGAGTCAGCGGGTGACCCACTGCACGGACGCTCACACAGGCCGGCACCTGGCCACGTTTACACGTCGGCCGGGGTCGAGCCTGTATACACTGACCACTGAGTCTCCTACGGTCACTGAGTCTTGTCAGGTAGCTGCGTCGGGTCACGTGTTTGCTGCAGCGTCCAGGTCTGGTTCTGAGTCTGCCCCCTGCTCGTGTCGCCTTCTGTCTCACGAGACTCTCCTGTGGCACCACCGCCTTGGTCACCCCTCCCTGCTTCGTCGCCGAGGCATGGCCTCCCGTGTCCTTGTCTCTGGTCTTCCCCGGTCCCTCCCTCCCCTTCCTCTGGGGCCTGGCCCTACCTCCGTCCCCTGTGTCGAGGGGCGGCAGCGGGCTGCCCCTCACTCCTCCCAGTTTCCTCTGACAGAGGCCCCGCTGCAGACGCTTCACATGGACGTGTGGGGCCCGGCCTGCGTCCGTGGACAAGGTCACGAGCGCTACTTCCTGCTGGTGGTTGACGATTACTCGCGTTACACCACAGTCTTCCCCTTGCGCAGCAAGGGTGACGTCACTGAGGTGTTGATCGACTGGATCCACGCAGCTCGTCTCCTGCTCAGGAGGAGCTTCGGCTCGGACTTTCCTGTTCTGCATCTGCACTATGACCGAGGCGGAGAGTTCTCCTCTGGTCTTCTGCGAGCCTACTGTCGTGCAGGAGGCATCCCCCAGACCTTCACGCTTCCGGACTCTCCACAGCAAAATGGGATTGCTGAGCGCCGCATTGGCATGGTAATGGACGTCGCCCGCACGTCCATGATGCATGCGGCTGCCCCCCATTTTCTGTGGCCGTTTGCGGTCCGGTATGCGGCGCATCAGATCAACCTTCACCCCAAGGTCTCCATGCTGGAGACCTCCCCAGCTTTGCTGTGGACGGGGAAGGTTGGCGATGCGTCTGCGTTCCGTGTCTGGGGATCTCGGGCGTTTGTCCGCGACTTGTGTGCGGACAAGCTGTTCCCTCGTGCTGCTCCTTGCGTCTTTCTTGGCTTCACCCATGACGCGCCAGGGTGGCAGTTCTACCACCCCACCTCTCGTCGTGTTCTGTCCTCCCAGGACGTCACGTTTGACGAGTCGGTCCCCTACTACCGCCTCTTCCCCTACCGCACTCCGTCCCTCCCCCCGCCGCCGCTCTTCCTTGTTCAAGGTCCCCCTCCAGTAGACCCCCTCCCCCCTCAGGGTCCTGCCCCTTCAACTGTGTCCCAGGTAGACGCAGTCGAGCCTGTCAAGGTTACTGGTGAATCTGGTGCTGCTGGGGGTGTTGAGCCTGGTGGTGCTGACTCTGGGGATGCTGAGCGTGTGGGTGCTACGCCTGGGGGTGCTGGGCCTACGGGTGGTACTACTGGGGGTGCTGAGCCTAGGGGTGCTGAGCTTGGGGGTACTGAGCCTGGGGGTGCTACGCCTGGGGGTGCTGAGCCTGGGGGTGCCACGTTTGAAGCTGCTGAGCCTGGGGATGCGGAGCTTGCGGGCGTTGGGCCTGCTCGTGTGGCGTTTGGCGGTGCTGGGCCTGGAGGTTCTGCGGGTGCTTCATCTCGGCGGGAGCCACTCTCTCCACAGGAGCTGCGCGAGTGGTTTGCCCGGAGCTGGAGGCATACTGCTGGAGCTGGAGCTTCTTCAGCTGCTTAGGGTTTTGGTGCCGCGGGTCCCGGAGGTGCTCGTACAGGGAGTACTGGAGCTGCTGGGCCTACGGGTACGACTGGAGCTGGAGCTGCTCAGAGTGTTGGCGCTGAGACTACTGCTGTCACTCCTGGAGGCGGTCCTGCTAGGGGTACTACTAGTGTTGCTGGAGGTGCTGTTGGCGCTGGCACAGCCGCTGGGGGTGCTGGTGCTGTCCCTTCTGTGTCTGGAGTCGCTGCGTGGCCTCGGCCCTACTTCGTTCCGCTCCTTCAGCAGGTTCTTGGTCCTCCTCCTCCCTTAGAGTGTCCACCGCCTGTCCACTCATAGTCACAGTCACTGACCCTTCCTTTGAGTCCACTACTGCGTCATCCCTAGTTACTGAGCTCGTCGACTTTGCTGCTCGCTGTCGTCTAGACTACGCTGCTAGTCTTGTTGCTGAGTCTGGGTCTGTTTGTCCTCCGTCCATCGGGGGTGAGTGTGCCCTTGGCACGGACGTCCCTGAGGACAGGCAGGAGGAGTTCCAGTGTCTGGCTGCTGCTTCACCTCATCTCGTGTCCGTACTGCTTACCCCTGAGAGAGACCCGGATGCACTTGACATCCCGACTCCGCGCTCTTACGCGAAGGCGGTAGAGGGTCCCTACTCCTCTCAGTGGCAGGCAGCTATGGATGCAGAGATGGCTTCTTGGAAGTCCACAGGCACCTAGGTTCACGGGGTTCCCCCGCCTAGGGCGAAAATCGTCAGTGGCATGTGGATCTTCAGGGTGAAGCGGCCGCCAAGTTCTCCACCTGTCTTCAAGGCGCGATACGTGGCTCGTGGCTTCAGTCAGCAGCATCGAGTTGACTACTTTCAGACCTTCTCCCCCACCCCGAAGATGACCACTCTTCGGGTGCTGCTGCACATAGCCGCTCAACGCGACTACGAGCTTCACTCTCTTGACTTCAGCACTGCTTTCTTGCAGGGTAGCCTGCACGAGGAGATCTGGCTGCGCCGCCCACCTGGCTTCACTGGGACTTTTCCTCCTGGCACCCAGTGGACCCTCCGGCGGCCAGTCTACGGTCTCCGCCAGGCACCGCGTGAGTGGCACGACACACTGAGGACTACGCTTGTGGCCCTTGGGTTTGCTCCCTCTACTGCCGACCCGTCGCTGTTTCTGCACACCGACACTTCTTTGCCGCCGTTCTACATCCTCGTGTATATCAACGACTTGGTCTTTGCTACTGTTGGACTCGCCCACGTGAAGTCCGAGCTGCAGAAGAGACACACGTGCACAGACCTGGGTGAGCTCCGCAGCTACCTTGGCTTGCAGATCACCCGGGACGGAGCACGTTGCACCATTACTCTGACTCAGTCACACATGGTGCAGCAGGTCCTTCAGCGCTTTGGCTTCACGTACTCCTCGCCTCAGGCCACTCCTCTGCTTACTCGCCACTCACTCTCAGTTCTGCCTTCGGATGAGTCCGTAGAGTCGAGTGGCCCGTATCCAGAGCTTGTTGGCTGCCTCATGTACCTGATGACCTGCACTCGACCTAACCTTGCATACCCTCTTAGCATTTTCGCACGCTATGTTGCCCCTGGGAGACACAGACCGGAGCACATGGCCGCAGCGAAGAGGGTGTTGCGCTACTTGTGCAGTACGTCGGGCATGGGGCTTGCGCTTGGAGGGCAGAGTCCAGTGGTCCTCACTGGGCACGCGGACGCTTCTTTGGCTGACGACCAGGCTACGTAGCGGTCGTCACAGGGCTACATCTTCAGCCTTGGTTCCGGCTCTATTTCGTGGCGGGCTATGCGCTCGTCTTCTGTTCTCGGCTCCAGTTGTGAGGCTGAGATCTACGCGGGGGCCATGGCTGCACAGGAGCTTCGCTGGCTCACCTACCTGCTGACTGACCTCGGAGAGCCGCCTCGTTCTCCTCTAGTGGTGTACGTAGACAACAAGACCATGCTGGCCTTGTGTCGAGAACAGAGACTGGAGCACAGAACGAAGCACATTGCTCTTCGCTACTTCCTGCGTCTTGCGTACTTGGCCTCTGAGGCCAACACTGCTGACATCTTCACCAAGGCACTTGCGCCTTGTGACCATCAGCGCTTCTTTACTCAGCTGGGTCTTGTGCCTGTCTTGCCTCACTTGCTCACCTCTTGACCTTGCTTGTACTGCTACATATATATATATATATATATATATACATACTCCTGCTCTTGCTTGTCTAGCCTTTTATATATACGTGTGTACTCCTGCATGTGAACTGGCCTTGTGGCCTTGACCTTGTGCTCGGACTGTGTGGTGACTTTGTGATCCATCCTGAGCTTGCTTTGCTTTGCTTTGCTTGACTAGTCTTGTGACCCCTTGTACTCCCCCACTTTGCCTATGGGGGTGTGTCAGATTGATATGACATAGCTATTGTAGGCTATAGTGGGGTAGCACATATGGGGTACAGCTTTCTAGGGTTTGTATTTGTACCCAACTTTCACTTAGTCATTTCATTCTCGTTTCAGTTTTCTCATCACTTGGGTACAAGGCAAGGCTATATATAGGCTCAACACAAGGCAGGTAACCCAGGTGTTACGAGAATGTTCTAAGGGTCGCAAAGCTTCCCGAAGAGATTCTTCCCGAACTCGGTAGAAAGCAATTCGGTGGGAACCGAAAAGGCTTAAGTTCGGTACATGTAACGTGGTTCGGTGCTATAAATATAATAACATATAGGAATGCACCTAACCTAGGAAATCAAGCATATCTATGCATGATAAATAAAATCCAAGCTAGTAATAGCATAAGAAAGTCTAGGCAAGCGAGCAAAACCAGCATAAGCCGTCGTACCAAAATCTTTCCTGATCCCTTTCTTACATCTAGGTCTTTCTCCCACTGTAACATCTTCTGTTTCTCTGCTATAGCGATCTCTGCATCCACGGAGTACCCATGTTGGAATAGACCCTTGAGTAGAGGGTTCATCCCGTCGAGCTGAATGCGTGCTACATGACCAGGGCGGCTCAACGTGTCTGTTTTGTTGTGTAGCTCGGGCTTGTAGACGATGTCGTAGTAGAAGTGGGTCTCCAAGAAGTCCACCCACCGCACCTGTCGTCGTGGGAGCGTTGGCTACGACTTCAGGTATTTGAGGCTGCAGTGGTCAGTGTAAACTGTAGTCTTGGCTCTCTCTCTAGGTAGCACCTCCACGCCTTGAAGGTTGTGACTATCGCTAAGGCTTCCTTGTCATGGATTGGGTAGTTCAGTTCTACTCCGTGTAGCTTCTTACTGAGGTAGGCGATAGGCTGTAAACCGCGCCCGTGATCCTGCATCAGTCCTGCTCCGACTGCTTGGTCACTAGCGTCCGCTTCCACCACGTAGTCTCTGTATGGATCCAGTAGGATGAGTACTGGCGCTGTAGTTAGTGCTGTCTGTAGCTACTCCATGGCTTGCTGTTGAGGAGTATCCCAATTGTAGGTCGTTTCCTTTTTTAGTAGGTCGGTCAGTGGCGCTGCTGTCTTAGCATACTGTGGCACGAACCTGTTGTAGTAGTTGGCGAAGCCTAGGAGCTGATGGAACTCCTTCATGTTCTCAGGAACATTCCCTATATCCGTCCAGCTTCGCAGCTCCACTCGTTTCCCGTTGCTGTAGATGCACGTTTTCCGGTTAACCCAGTCGATCTCGGGGTTGAATCGCTTCAGAAAATCACGCCCCCAGATGAAATCTAATCCCTTGATATTCGTGATCGGCAACATCAGCTTCAACCTCAACGCCCCTATCTGCAGCTGCAGTGTTGACTCGCCGTGGATGGGAAGCTTCGCACCGTCCACCATCATTGCTGTAAACTGGGTCTCTTCTCAGGATTCTCCAATTTTCTCCAACGTCCCACGGTCGCACACCGAGTGGGACGCACTGTCAGAACTTATAGCTTATGCTTTTGTGTAGGCTGTAGTGGGGTATCCCATAAGGGGTACAACCCAATTAGGGTTGGTACTTGTACTCACACATTTCATAGTTCATTCATTCCTGTTCTTTGATTTCACATGGTATAGAGCAGGTTCCCCTGTGGGAACTTCGCCTAGGGCCCACCACTCGATTTTTTTGCCCCAAGCGCCCTCGTTCCAAGTCGCGCCTCGGGCCTTTCTCTCACCGAGCCGCCCTAGCGGCCGACCCTACGATCGCGGCCCTGCCGCCCTACCCACTGCGGCCCCGCCGCCCTACACTCTTGCGGCCCCGCCGCCCTTACATCGCGGCCTCGCCGCCCCTACTCTCTCGGCCCCGCCGCCCCTTGATCGCAGCCCCGCCGCCCTTCACCTGAGCGGCCCCGCCGCCTTCACCTGAGCGGCCCCGTCGCCCCCTGATCGCGGCCCCGCCGCCCCTTGGTCGCGGCCCCGCCGCCCTTTTCTCGCGGCCCCGCCGCCCTTTTCTCGCGGCCCCGCCGCCTCTGCTCTTGCGGCCCCGCCGCCCTTCCCTTGCGGCCCCGTCGCCCTGACGTCGCGGCCCCGCCGCCCCAGCTCTCGCGACTCCGCCGCCCCTGTCCTCGCGGCCCAGTCGCCCCGCTGTCGCGGCCCCGCCGCCTCCCATCGCGGCCCCGTCGCCCTGCTCCTGCGGCTCCGCCGCCCTCCTGTCGCGGCCT